ACAGTAGACAAATTGTGGGCAACATCCTACTGCTGTAACTGCTACATACCCGTACAGGTCAAACGATTTTTTGCAGATTTTACCAATGTCTCGCCAAAGCAATCTGTGTACTACCTGTTATTACATGCGCATATGAAAACTGTGGTGGGCATAACATAATTGATTTCGCTTTAATTACAGTTATAGTATTTTATTTTGGCAAAGAAAATAAAGGGTGTGTCAAAATTTACGCAAGATTGGAATTAAATAGAAAATACAGAGTTCAGTCTTTTGGTTGAATCATAAACTCATAGAATATGATTATTTATGGAACATCATATCGGCTAAATGGCCTCCACGGCTTTCCATACACATACTCTTTTGTCCCATAATTGTGGCTGAATTTCATTGAACGTGTGGTTGTGCGCTTGATCCAGGGGGCCAATTCTGATCACTAAAACTGGCGATTACACTGCCTTGAAATGTCTCGTGCAGCAATTGAAATGTATGCTGCATGGGCTGTACGACATTGTTGAAATCACAGTTTTGCCACTTCAATATCATCCAATTGGGAGCTATTTGTCGCGATATCGAACACCAGCCACATTCACTGCTAGACCACTGCCTCCAGCTAGACCACTGCCTCCAGCATAAAAGCGAAAAGAATTCATGAATGTCTGTTGTTAACTCGACTATAATCGCGTGAGCGGTGTCTACGCCAGTAAAGAAGAAGAGCAAGCTGAACTTTTTTAATTCTTGACACTTAATGAACTATTGCTCATAGGTACACGGTGTAAATGTGCGGTTGGAAGGAAACCGGGAATAATAATGAAATATTTTATAACCATTTACTAGCTACATACATACGAGGGGATCAACAAAAGTTCGGGAGGTTGTCCAGAAAAAAAAAACAAACAAAAAATTCTTTTAGTATTTACTCGTAGTCTTTGTGATTTTTTATTTTCTCTACATAATCGTCAATAATTTCAATGCATTTCTTAAGTCTATAGATTCACTTCTGAAAACTGTCTTCAAAATCTTGCTTTTTAAGCTTATCAAGCTCAGCATTAACCGCATCAACTATCTCCTCGTTGCTATTAAAGACCTCTCCTTTTAAATTGTTTTTTTAATTTTTAGAAATAATCAGGCATCACAAGGTGCCGTATCCGGGGAATGCAGTGCTGGACGTTATTTTTCGAGTACAGAGATCGCATTAAAATTACTCGTTATTTCATCAGTCATTCAGAGATGTAAAAGGTAGCGCTGCAAATCTTCTTCCTTCCTGCTTTCAAACAAATTTTGGTAAACACTCTTCGGTGTACCATTTTGCAGTTACCATCTGACCATGATCCAGTGGAATAGCAGCTACGATTTTAGATCGGGTAAAGTAAACTGACCTCATTACTTTTGCTGCTGTTTTTTGTTATTTAGATTTTACGGGTGGGTTTGCTCCTGTTGGGCTCCTTACCATGGATCGCACTTACAGAACGAAGACTCGTCACCATCAACGAATTTACAAAAGTTGCTAGACTGACTATATTCGAATTTGTTTAGGCAAATTTGCGCAAAATGCACTCGAGCTTCTTTTTGGGCCTCATTTACAATTTGTGGTGCCCATTGAGCAGATTTCTTCGTGTATCCCAGATGATTACTTAATATTCGCGACGCAGCCTTGACATTCAAGCCCAATTCATTAGCAATCATTTCTTGTGTCAATCGTGGGTCTTCGTCTATTTTTTGACTTCACCAGGTCTACAGTGACGTGATTAGCGGAAAATTTTGGTCGAACTTCTCGGTGCTCGTTCTCTACAGAAAATACTTTGGTCTGGTTTCATCGGAACCACTTGGAAATAGTCTTTAAATACGGTGCAATCGTTTCATATACGATTTGGCATTCACTGAATATTTGTATTGACTGTAAATTACAGCGAAACCCGAAGAGAATCACATGGCCAATTTCTGTTTGCGTTGGTGGTGAAATTTCGTCTGAACTATCCGCGGCTATTTTGCATTTTCTCCTTACCATTTTAGCCGAACGTTCTAAAATTTGAAAGGAAGACTAAAAAAGTGATTGCAAAGCGTTTGGTATTTTTAGATTTTACAAAAACGAATTAAAAGTCACCAACTGACCGAACTTTTGTTAATCTCCTCGTATGTGCATAATTAATTCCATATTTTGCACGTTTTGATAACATTAAAATGTTGTTACAAATACAAACACCTTAAAATTAGTAATAATATTTTATTATTGTACAACAAAATTAATATTAATATAAGCAACCAGAGAATATTTGTCAACCGACAATACATTACATGCATTTAACTATACATATATACATATGTATGTATGTACAAATAACATTTAAAAATTAAAACTGAAAATTCGCAATGCAACATATGTACATACATAAGTAATTGAAAATGAAGTGTGTGCAACAGTAACGAACTGTTGAATAATGAGCAATGCGCACAGGAAAACTACTGTTGTTATTATTAATGTATGTATGTATGTATGTATTTAGATGTTATATAAATTTTAAGCACAGCGTTACAATTCATATATACCTGCATATATACTACATATATACGTGTACATACATATGTATGTACGTATAGTCGAACATATAAATGTATGTATGTATATAAGTTATATCGAAAATAACAATGGCATCGGCGTCACCAACGTCAATTATCAGCCATATAATTATATTTATCAGTGACTGGCGCATTATATGTACATATGTACGTGTATGTATGCCGGCTCGTGTTGAGGCCACCAATTGCAAATGTATGAAAGAGAACAGATCCAACACTATTTGGTGAAAAAGTTGTTTTGTTTTTGTATTTAATTCGCATGTTACAATAAATCGGCTACTTTTGTGGAAGTATTTTTCAATGTACACATCTGTATGTATGTATGTATGTACGTATGAGCGTACACTTAATTGGAACTCAGTACACACATTGCAAAGACATTTCGACTGTATCGGGAAAAATGGATGATAACGGTCGAAAGAAAACGGAGCACATATATGTTTTCTATGTAAATGTAAACATGTAAAATGAGCGATTATATACATTTTTTTTAATACCTTTTTTTTAAATATTTAAATTTTTTTTTTTTGCCAAAATTGTCGATAATATCTAGCTCTTGAGAAAAGGAAGTATTATTAATATTTTGTGAAAGTGCCCGCAATCAACAACCAAATTATCAATGAATTTTCAGTGCAAATAAATCTCGTACTCGTTTTTTCTGAACTATTTAAGTAGTTGCACGGAAAAAATCTTGGCCGAGCGTTTAAGTTGAAAACCGTTTCCTTCCACGCAAAAAGGCGTTGAACAAAAAAGAAATTCGGAAAAATTTATCTTTACAAAATTTTAATAACGTTATTTATTAACCCAATTTGTTTAAAGAAAAAATAAAGATTAAATAGGTTCTAAACTTTTTACGGACTTCTGACACAAAAAGTCAAACCTTTTCTACGTTTGGCGTTGACAAAAACACCAGACACTAAGTGAAGACAAACCGGAGTAGAGTTCTTCCTCTTCCTCTACATCCAACAGTCGGCTCTGCATCATTGTCGTCGTATATCTTACACAGCTCCGCTCCACAATTTGTGCCAAATACTGTAGGATAAGCCTCGATCGCATATAAAGTCCTTTCGAATGTACTATGTGGAAGCCTAGAGCCTCATCCCATGCCAAATTTTGGAAAAAAGCTGTTAAAATAGGGCCTCAGAGAGGCAAAGATACAAAAGAAGGTTTCAGACAAGGTCATTCCTTATCGTCGTGGGCCCGAGTAGCGAAATAAGAAATGAATGGCGTGTTGTCGTTAGCTCGGCTATAATCGCGTAAGCTGGCTCTACACTGGTTAAGAAAAATAATCGCTAGAAATGTTTTTACTCATAGCTGAACTAATACATTTGAGTGCAATACAGTTTTGAGTTGACTCCAACTTTGTTTTGAAATTATTTTTTTAAGCGCATGTGAATGTTAGTATACGGTAAATGAATAACAAAACAATAATTTCTCGTTAGTTTCTGTTAAACGAGCTACGGTTGGGATTTCTGTGAAATTACAAAGTGATTTTTATAGTCGACTGTACGTTGTACACAGGTTATTATAATCATTTTTATAGTTTCTGATTGTTATAGCAGCAAAAAAAATATATATATACATACATACAGATCGAGGCAGATATAAACGTTTGTATATTAGTCTTCTTAAAATGACGATCCCCTGATATGAATAAATTTAGTAAACCAAAGTGTCATGACACATTGGATTCAATACATAAAAGACACGTAATACTTTTCACTCTATATAATACGCTGATTACAATGAGCAACTTTAAACGCGTTTTTCTCAAAATTACATTTTTCAAAATGGGAGGACAGCTTATTTGGGCCCTATTGCATCGATTTCTCTGAAATTTTCGATTTACAAATACATTTTTTTTGGAAGTACGTAGCCGTTTTTCGACTAAATGTAAACTTTTTTTTTAATAATTTATTGCGTATTTTCAAATCAAAAATCAATCTTAAAAAATCTGCCCCTTTCACAAAAATTAGTTAAAAAATAAACCCGTACATACTTCCAAAGACCATAGTTTGTAGATCATACAACTGTTTGCTTTTCTGCTTTAGGTCTCCTTTAGAAAAAATCGGACGGCCTTTAAAAAAACATAAATTAAATAATGGATTTTATCACCGCCGTTTTGTAACAAAATAATAATTGAAGAATATTTTTTTTATAGTTCGATATGCGTTCAATGAATTGGTTGAAAGAAAAATTCTATTACTTTTTTCATATTCTTACAATAAATTTTTTAAAATGAATCCAACATTCGACCTCTAGAGTAGAGTGGCTTTACCTCTTAATGATCGTTAACAATGCGGTGAATAGCTAAATTTTTGAACATTTTGACGAATGTCAATATTTATGGGAATAAGTTTTTCCCTTTCACACAACGATTTTTCGTCTTTATTTTAAGCCGTTTCTTTTTTGCTTATTATTTTCAGATGGCCAATTTTGATTGAATCACCGGCAACAACAGCATGTGAGATGCATCCAAAATATTCTGAAACTAACTATAACAATTGAAGCACTAGCAACAACATCATCAACAACAACTCACTACAACTACTACTATTACTAACTTAATATACATACATATAAGCAAAATAAGAAATATCAGCAAAGTCTGACTTCCATATTTGTAATAAAATCAAATTACAACAACTTACACATCAATTAATAGTAGTAAAACATAACGTACATTTATTGTAATTATCAAAACAAAAATAAAAAATTAAATAAACGAAAGCGATCATAGTATGGACATACATATGTATGTATGTACGTATTATTATCAAGCATATAAACATACTATTGAGAGTAATCACTACGAACCAAACTATTGAGTGACTTTTCTTTTAACGAGAAAAGTATAGTCTAGCATAGGTACTAGCAGTCTCCACACTCTTTCGGCTTATTAACTCAATTTGTATGTATGATTTTTAGAAAAAGTCTTGAGCCAAAAAAAAAAAAATAAGTAATTGCTAATTTTATTTAGAAAAAAAATTTATTTCGAAAAAAATTTTATTTAGAAAAAAATATATTTGAAAAAATAATTGTTTTTTTATTTCACTTGAGCTGTGCATAAATAAATTTAACAATATACCCAAACATACGCACATGCGCACAATAAATATTGTATTTATATATTTACATATACATATACACATATGTACATACTTTCAAACGATTAGCGATATTTTCTTTGCCAAAATTATTGTCATTTTTCTTGTAATTGTAAACATTTTTCGGTAAATTTAGAGTTTACTTTTATTTTATATACCTACATATGTTTAGAATGTAGCTTTATTATTGTTTATAAATATATACACATACATACATACATATATGTATATTTACATGTAATTTAATTAAACTGTTATTTGTCTTATCATACTTACTTTTGCATTTTTGCAGTTTTCCTTCAATAATTTGTTCTTTAAATCCTTCACATTTGCGCCTTTTTATTGTACTTGCATATATGATTTATTGTTTTTATAATTTTGCATAAGAATACGAAAATATTATATTGAAATATATTATATTATAGATACATTTAAGCGTAATATACAAAACGTAAATACTTGTAATCAATTAATATCAATGTGATTTAAGCGATTTTATCAAAGCTCTATGCAAATGTCTTAAAAACCACGTTAAATTAATATAATAATTGTTCTATGCGATGTTGTTGTACGAGTATGTTCTCAAATGCGAAAAGAATAACTGAATGAGAAACTTTTACTTAATAAGTACTATGTAATAATAATAATAATAATAATAAAACATTGAAATTCAATAATATGGTATTCCAAATTATAAAAATCGTAACATTATATAAATACATATACATAAATATGTATGTATATGATTAACAACATAAATACAACGTAAATAATTACTAGGCAACAATAAATAGATAAAATATTATTAAAAAATTTCCCACTTGTAATTTAATTTACAACCATATAAAAAGTTTGTGTTGCCTCAATTTATTTGCTGCTCTGTAAAACAAACAAAGAAAACGAAATAAAAAAAATTATATTGTAGTACATACATTTAAGTCACACTTAATTTTTTTATATTGTTGTATGCTAAAGTGCCATTAGGTCTAAATTATTTAGAAAAGAATCGAAAATTCTAGTGTTGTTAACAATAAATGCGCAGCAATAACTTAACGCGTGCGTTGTTTGCAAATTATTTATAAATATAAAATGAAACTTTCGCGAAATTCCCCAGAAATAAAAGCATTATTGTTTAATATCAATATGTTCAAACTTCACAAATTCCGTATGCATTTTTTATATTAGCAACAAAATGTATTGCAAATAATGTTCGGCCGACGTTTTTATACACATACATACATACGTTTGTAAATATTTAATTTTTTTTAAATTGCATAGTGCTGCGTAAGTTAAAAAAATATAATTTTTCAATAACAATTACTATGTGCTTTAAGAGAGAATAGAAGAGAATGTTGGCATGTCAGCTAAAATTACTGCTTTGTTTTGTTTTTAGCATATTTGGTAGAAATTCTAAATTTTTATCTTAAGCCAACATATTAGTTTACATTTAGATAAATTAAAATTCTCTTTGCTTTGCATAAGAACACTGTAAAGTGGTAAAAAATTGTATACAGTAGTTAGTTTCAACAATGTTATATTTCAAAATGTAGTCATGATACATTTTTGAGTTAGGAAAAAAAAACATGTCACAAAACTATCGGAAACAGTATGGAAAGTATGCAAATCACTTGTAACTTGAAAATATTGCGAATATTTTCATAATTAATTTTAATAATTATCATTCGTATATGACTTTAAAAAGCGTTAGTATATTTTGCTGTCCCATATGATAAGGATTTTTCTAGTGCTTTCGAAATTTTTATAATACGAAAATATTTATTGCGTGTAGAAATCTTTTTCTGCAATATCACAAGTGTACATACACATATGTATTTACATATGACATGCCAACAGACATGCTCCGACACACACATACATGTTTACAGATTTATGTATGTTAATGATTTATGAATAAGTATATTGTAGCTAATAATTAAATTCTAAATTAACAATTAAATGAATTGGAATCGTGCATACGTATGTCTGTATGTATGCATAGTGCAGAAGACTTCAATGTAACGAATATTTACGTATTGTCTGTATGTATGCACATTTGCTAACAAATAAATTGTCTATCTTGCAAGGAAAGAACATAAAGAAGACTTATAGATATCGCATATACATATATACAATATATGTACGTAGATTATATACGTACGTTTTGTAAACATTCTTATCTGCCCTCCTACCTTTTCCCTTGACTGCTGCACCTGTATGAACATAAACTCTACGTTTCGCATTCACAACTGGTTTCCATGCAAAAATACAAATTCCAACATATTTCCACTATTTTTTTTATACTTTGCTTTGTCATGTACATACATATGTAGTACATTCATACACCCGTCTGGCGACAAAAAATTTTTCCAATTTAATGGGAAACCTAGTTTTTGTGAACTCCCTTACCAAATGATGGGAGGGAAAACTAAATCAACGCATAAGCAACGATATTAATATATATTACATACATACATAGTTTTTTTATAGTAATTATGAATCGCACAATTACGCAATTGAAAACCACAATAACAAAACAAATAATTTTACAGTATTTAAATGTTTGATGTAATGAAGAATTAAGTGAAATAAATTTTTATACAAATAAATAATGAATGAAAAGTAAAAGTTATAATGCAAAAATAAAGTAGACTAAGTATTCAACATGAAACCAGCCCAGATGTGCGCATTTACGATATGCATGGGTTTATTACAAATATATGACATGTGAAGTGTGCGTTAAGGCGTACAAAGCAGCAGCGGCAAGTGAAATAAAATGCCAGCCAATACCCATGTATTATTAATAAATAAAAATGTTTTCTTTTTATTATTACTATTATTATTATTATCGTAATGTAGGTACTGTATATTGTATGTATTATTATCAATTTTTGATAACGAACACCTTTTTTGATAGAAAACTTTTCTGTAGTGTGCAAATTTTATCGCCAAATATAAGTAAATAAATAAAATATTAATAAAGAATATACAAAGTACATAAAAAATAGAAATTCTTGTTTCGTATAAAAATTGAAGGAAAGTGTTAACTAGCTGGGGGATAGTTCATATTAACAAAACATAGCGTAATTTAAAAATTTCACAACAGAGTAAACAAGAAAAAAGCGAAGAGCTGTCTTCAAACGGCCTCGACATGAACATGTTTTATGACTTTTAAAACCATATCAAAGTTATGGCTTTTCATTTTAGGTCTAAATATTCATACTCATACCTGAAAAATTGGTAGAAGAGGGAAGGCTATGTGACGAAGTTTTCTAATTTCCATTATTTTCGCTGTTAATTTTTATGTTTAGATACGCATGCAAATTACCTACTTTTAGTTGGTTTTTGACGGAATTTTTGACAAAGCTTAACATCTGAAACAAACGATTGTATGACGGCTCTATGGTATGGTTCTTCGATTTCGACGACTTTGTTTATTTTATATACAAAAATTAAGTGTAGAATACCAAATATCACGCTTTCACATGCTTTTTCGACGAATTTTCCTTCTACCAAAAAAATCAAATCTGAACAACTCGGTTGCATGGGAGATCTACGATAGATTTCCAATATGTAATTCATCACATGTGTGCAGAGTACGAAATTTTCCGATATTGGATGTTTTTTTGACTAATTTATGACCCAATTGGATATGAAAAATTGTTCACATATATGTTTCCGATCTGTCCGGCTTCCACAAATGATAGTTTAAATGTACCATTGGCTTTCTGATAGGTGTATCTCTATTTCTTTTGGTACTTACATACTTATATACCATTGTACGTGAAAAGCATAATAAATCTGGTGTCATAGTCGAAATAAAGTTTAGTATGTAAGAGAGTATTCAATTTAACCGAAAAATTAAGTAAGTATTAAATATTCCATTTTGGTTTTAGACGATCATCTATAATAGTGTCAATTTCAGTTTTTTCTTCCAGATTTAACCAGTTGTCGAATTAAGTAGAGCTTAAATCAGAATATTCTTCTTTATATTATATATACTTTTTTCTATATATAAAATATTTCAATAAAAAGTGAGTCAATTGTTTTCAAAGAAAAACAAATATTCAGTTTTATAAGAAAAATAATTCGTTTTATATATTTTATTTATATGTACATTCATATGTACTGTATGTATGGATATTGCACATTTTAAATGAGATTTTCATAGCTTGTTATACATTTTTAATGTATTTAAAACAATTACAACCATAAGTCCTCACGATATTTTCCGCTTCCTTTATAAGCTTTTATTATTAGTAGAGCTTCCTCGGATGTTATGTGACGTATTTGTGTGATACAATTCGCTATAGTTTTTTCTATAGATTTCGAGATTGAGCCACCATCAGCACATACATACAATATCGTTTTCTCATCGAAAAAAAAATCTACAAATTCTGCTGCATGTGCTGCAATTTGTTCTTGCACATAGTGATGCGAAGAATTTGGAACTCGTGAGAATGCTTCATAGTAACGTTGCAACACTCCAGCTTCTTCATATGCCAATATGCGTTCTCTATGTGGTAAATAAGCTTCATTTACAGCTCCTGCAAATAACCAAGTATCGCCTAAAGATTCCAATGCTTTGCTACCAAGTAATTGTTCTTTTAGCTCTAAAAATCCCAAGAATGGCGCTAAAGCTGTACCAACACATATGAGAATGTGATTGTGTTCACTAGCTTCTTTTACTGTGAAACAAAAATGATTTGTTTGACGCGAATACACAACAATTTTTGGTGGCTCCGGAATATTGATATTTTTTAGACATAGGGTAGCAAAAGTGTTCAGCATATCCGTTGTTACACCAGTTTTTTGTGGAAGTATTGAGAATATAATTTTTACTTCATCTGTAAGAGGGTTATTCGCTAGTGAATATGGCCTTGGCAATAGACGCGGCAGGTGTTCAATTAATATTTCTAGTGTGGGTGTACAAGACGGGCATAATTCGAGTAGATCAAGTAGTGTAAGACCTCGTTCCAAAATAAGTTCGTTATAGTAACAGCTAGCTTCTTTTGATGACAAGCAACTGAGGAATGCCTTTTCATTTACATCTGAACAACAACTGGCTAAAACGCTAAGGAATTGTTTCTTTGGTACAGCATGTATGTTAATACAATCTCGCAGTAATTGATATGGTGTACAAAGTGTTGGAATGTATGTTGGCAACTTAACATTCTTTTTCATGCATTTTGACGAAATTTGAAGTTGAAAAGTGGTTTCAGCACTATTTAACAATTGCATTTGTTGTAGGAGTTTTTGTACTTTATTGACATTGTTCATCGGTAGTATAGCGATTGTATCTCCTGGCTGATGAGAATTATTAAGCGTTTTCTAAGAAAGAGTAAAAAACAATTTTAATAAATTGAAATTGTTAACACATATAGTAGGCATACCATTTCAAATGCTAGTTCCAATATACGTTTAGCTTTAATTTCATCATCTCCCTCCGCCAACACTTTTACTGTCTTAATTGGCACTTCGAGAGGCAAAGCTCCAGCCCTGCTAAACGGCCAAATAAGTTCTGTACAGAGGAGTTGTGCGTGTTTTGTTGGAGCCTTTGATTGACAACATTAGTAACTACAAACGCATTATTAAATATTCCAACTAACCTTTACAGCGCTGTCTTCATTTGCGTATAAAGCTGAGTAAATTGGTTCCGAAAGCTTTGCCGGTACATATTTATCCAGTATGAAGTTGTTTATATTAATTATACCTCCTTCGGAGAAAGGAATCTCTGTTGGACAGACCATCTTTCAAACTATATTTCTGACGGATTCACAGCAGAGAAAAAAGGAAGAAAAATATTAAACGGATGTGTAAGTGTAGTCGACTATAAAATCGATGCCATTAATCTAATATATGGCATTCAAAAATATAAACTTACCGAACTTCCCGTATGTCAAAGTGTACTGGAAGATTTAAAAAATTGTTTTTAAAAAACCCGTAAATAATTTATTTATTAATAAAAGGCTTATTATGATGAAATTAGTGAATAGAAATATCAAATATGCAAAATATTCTGAACAGCTGTTTTACAATATTGCTAATTTTGAGTCTTAAGGTATGACTAGGTTACACGCTGTAGTGCGGGGGTATCTTCTGAGAATGGGAATAATTTAGTAATGTAACTACTTAGCAAACGTTTGTCAGCCCGTAATGACTGCCTTGTTTTTGTAGCTTGAGTGTTCGGTAAAAAATATATAGGCAAACGTAAAATTCGTTCAGAAGATGGTGGAACCATTTGAATATTGAACGCTTTTTGATATGATTAAAATGGACTTGGATATTCAATTTTTCCTAATTCGCTTTTTCGTATAACTTTGTTCAGACAAATTACTGAATAATTTTTTATTATGCTCTAGCAAAAGTTGCTGCGATGAAAGTTGTGATCTGTGATCTCGGTCTAATATAAATATGCTTCGATTTGGCTTTTTGCCATTATTTAACATGGCAACGCTGTGAATTGTCAGATGTGTTTGTTATTCTTATTTTCTCCATTGCTTATTAACATCAGGGAATAAAATTTTTGTTTTCTAGTCTGGTTGTATTTTAATAAATTTTAAATAAAAATTAAGGATGTCGCGATTTGTTGAGTCAAAGGAGAGTGATGATGAGTTTCACGATGCATTAGCTGAGGTGCATCTCCATGACGAAACAAATTTGTCCTCTGGTACCACGTCAGAGGGAAGCAACAACACTGCCCGTAATTCGTCACACCTTAAAACAAATGAAGAAATCATTGAGGAAATTACACGCCAAGAGGAGGATTTCAAACTACCCGATGAATGTGAGGAAAATGATGATGAGAACACTGAACAGGATAAAGATGTGTCGAACGAACTATCTAAGCTGTTCACCGACGATGTCGATGTTGAAGTGTTGCGCGAACAAGAAAAGAAATTAAGTCCTGAACAGCTTCAACAAAATAAAGAGGAATCCGATCGCATGAAATTAAAAGCCAATGAACTATTCAAAACAGATGAGGCACTGTCTGCAATCGAGATTTATACCAACGCTCTTCACATATGTCCCACCACTTACACTAAAGAGCGTGCTATTTTGTATGGTAATCGCGCTGCAGCTAAAATTAAACTGGATTCTAAGAAATCAGCATTAGACGACTGTACAAAAGCAATTGAATTATGGCCAGATTACGTGCGTGCAATAATAAGGTAAAAGTTGTATTTTATCAACATGCTTTGATATATTTCATAATAAACCCTCATTATAGACGAGCAAAACTTTGTGAAAGCGAAGATCGTTTGGAAGACGCATTGGCAGATTATCAAAGAGTTTGTGAACTTGAGCCAAGTCACAAAGAAGCAAGGGAAGCTGTCTCACGATTACCAGAGCAAATCAACGAACGTAATGAGCGTTTGAAAACTGAAATGCTTTCCAAATTAAAAGATCTTGGCAATATGTTCCTTAAACCATTTGGCCTCTCTACAAATAATTTCCAAATGCAACAAGATCCCACAACAGGATCTTATTCTGTAAATTTTCAACAAAATCCGAGATAGTTCACATTTACGCCTTAAGCGTAATCTAAATACACAATAGTTTTTGTGTTCGAAATAAATTTAAATATGTATATTTTGTAAAGTGTAATATTAGGAACAAATCCCCTTAAATAAAATTTAATCAAGGTGTAGTTTAAAATTAAATTCTTTCAATTTATAGAGAAAACAACGAAAACTATTAACGATGAATAGCAACCAGTGTGTAGTAAAGAGCATGTAATCGACTTGAGTCGATTTTCTGTTTACTATTTACTTCTCATATGAAAAACATAACTGATAATGATAATAATGATTAATGCCTTAAGACCTTTCCTCCTAACCATTATGTTTTTAATTTTTTCTAACGCAGAAAAATTAGCGAATTACAAAAATTTAATAAAGAAGATGAATCAAGTAATGAAGTCTAAGTTTATGCCATCAATTTTTTCCATTGATAGCGGAAAACAATAAAAATATTGTCTAATAAATAAAAAAGCGCATATTAAATAAAATTATTACTTAATTAATCAAATTCATTTCTTATATTTTCTTTGTCTTTTACAATTTTGAAATTTAACGTTCAATATTTGTATACTAAAATCTTATCTACACATATAATTTTTGTGGCTAAAACTATAGAAAATGCATTTGCCGATAGTGTCCTTGTATATTTTTCCGTCCACTCTTATTTATTATTTACTACATTAGCAAGTGATTTAATGAGCTATGTATTACCCAACCCCAGGAGTTTGGAACTTACACAATAATAACGAAAACTAATTGTATCACATCAAAACATCACATCACATTAGCACATATTATCACATCACATCAATACATCACGTCAACAGATCACTTCTCGCTTGGACCGAAGTGTTCATTTTGAGCTGTGTGCTGCTCCAGTTGTTGTTACCATTGAGAACTCCAAGAAATATAAATAAAAATATTTAGCTAGGCTAAACCCCCTTGGGGCTATAAGCCAATATGATTTCTCTTAGTTATATTTTCATATGTAATATATTAAAGATTTTCTAGAGTTGTTGTATCGAATGTTTGTTATCGAGAACATTTCAACAAAATCTTCTAGAAGATACATGCGAGGAATCTGTGGCTACACAACAGCAAAGTGCGCACTGCTGGTATGTATAGTCGAATATAGTACTCGGTAGTGATAACATCGGTGTAGAGTAAAGACGGAGTAAACTATATGTTTACAAGGGAGATAATAAACTGTTTGCTTATAATAAGGAAGGTGGTCAACAAACCTATAGACAATCCAATAATCAAACTCGAATTATTTTTGAAATCATCGACGGTTATTTAGCAAAATCGTTACAAAATTTTGAAATTCTTGAATGCATGCAGTTAAGATTTTAAATTTACCTTCTAACTCATCACGCGGTTTTATGATTTGTGAGAACGCAGATATCTATAAGATTATTCTTGCGCTTCCAATTTAAAATTATGTGAATCTCATACCCTTTGAAAAGACAAAACATGCCACCGACTTTGATAAAAATTTCGAACAAACTAGTGCAGCAACTAGTTTATATGGCGAAAACTCAATTATTAGCGCGAAAACATGTTTTCGATGTTGGTCCGAACGAGGTATAAGAAAAAAAGAAAATACTTTTTATTATTCCCAAATGCAGTTGAGAAACTATTGGACTGCGATAAACAGTTTTGAACTTTGAATTTAACCTGATCTGAGCTGGCATAGTATCGACACGTACAAATTGCACTCAAATAAAGTAAAATTTTAAGCAAGTGTATTTATAGTTTTATTTATTTATTTTTTTTAACTAAAAGTCAAGACTAAGCATTAAAACAAAGAACTTGACTGTTATATATTGCTATTGTAATTATCTGAAAGTTACCAAAAATATTGCCGTGGGGACTAATAAATGATAAATTAATCTTTATTGGTACCACTTAGTTGTTCAGTTAGAAACCTTTAACCACATAAGAGTATATTGCTTGCCAGCTTCATAAACTTTATGATTGTTCTTTGAAATACATATCCATTGAATAAGGAAAACCGAATAATTAATAATTACCAAACGAAAAAATATATTTGTATTGAACTGTATTGTAATCTCTGGTAAGATTACAGCTAATGAAAAATGTATTATTTGAAAAAAAAAAAATCCTCAAAACATGATTAAATTAGCTAAATCAGAATTTACTACAGCTGGCCATATTGTGTTAATCACTAAACTAATTATTATTTGATTGATAGTGAGAATCTATGAGAAGATTAATTTTAAACCATAATTTCAAAGCAATTATCTGTTCAGATAAGAGATTTTTGAGATAGCTCCTACAGTGAGAGATCCACTATTCGATTTAATTTTAATCTGTTTTAGTTGAAGTATCACAGCGCTCTATATTGGATTATTGTTGTGGCCCCATAAAAATAATGCAGCTAAACAAACAGTTAAATTGTTGTTCAAAATTAAATGTAAATTAAATGTAAATTAAATGTCAATTAAATGTTTTGACCATCTATTGGGTTGCCTTAAAAGAAACCGGCGGTTTTTCCTACAAATGGCGTTGACACCCATTCTTATGAACATCTTGTGACTGTTTAATTGTATTTTTTCTTTTGACTGTTATAAGCTGTCACTTTTAAATTGCTTTAGAAAAAAAGTACGTGTAATTTTGTTTATATTTGCTTGTTTGGCGTCAATTTTAAAAAGGAGCCCACAACAGAACTTTTTCGCCATATTTTACTTTATTTTTTTCCTTAAGGGAAAAATTGTAGCTTTCTTTAGAAAATTTCTCAGCCGATTTTTTAGATTGCAAAAAATTACAATACAATGTAAGCATCGTAATCGGCTATCACCGGTTAACCCACCCTCACTTAGGGGTATTATCTCAGCTTAGCAGGAGGGAATGTAGTTTCAGCAGTATTAACAAAGCGCTCCGAATAAAGAATGCCTGCAGAAGGGTTATTGTGCACTGGCTTTACAAAAGTGTCGTAAGACCTATATTAATGTTGGAATCTTAGTATGGCGGTCGACACTAAGATAAAGGTGCCACATTAAACCTCTAGAATGATGAAAACTATTTGTACAAGGCCCAGGTAGTCATCTTTGACATCAGGCCAATTAACATACAAGTGACTTATGTAGCAGCAGGCCGGCTGAATATCCTTGATAGTTGGGTTCAGCTTCCCTACTGTGAACGCCATGGCATGGCATACAAAAAGTTTTCAAGAGAACGTCGAGTTTGGCCGAGAAATCCAAATTTCAAGAGTTCAAGAGCGAAAGAGCATGCAAAGAGACGGTGAAAATAGCTTGGGCCTCAAGGCACACAAATGTAGAGGGTAATGAAGAGGCGATGCTGTCACCAAATGTCTTCAAGTGTTTCTTAAACCAGTGGAACCCTGGGCAAAACTTAAAATCCTGGCGCAATTAACATGCAGTGCGTACCACTAAACTACAATGCGGCAGTATAAATGGCAGTCAGACCAAATTCTTGCTAGCACTACGCTGAAGAAAACCTTTGATTCTTATAGGTGTACTGACGGGGCATCTACTAAGATATCATCCACAAAAGTTAGATAAGGCGGAATCGGCAGAGTGCAGAGCCTGTAAAGACTAAAATGAAAGGCTGTAGCATTATCTGAGTGTCCGGCCTCCAGCAGATTCAGCCAGGTACCTAACCTCCCCTTTATACCAAGCAGCTAACCAATAAAGATAAATAAATAATATGAAATAGAAGGGTATTTAAGGAAATGGTATATTATATTATTTTATTTTCAAAAATTTAAATTCCTTATAAGCTGTGTGAATGCGAATTCCATTTAATTTTTTATGTGTACTTTTTTATTATACTTTTAACTTTTCTTAGATTTTTCAGCTGTTTTTGGCTTAGTTTTTGGCCAATTTAGCTTAATCGCTGAAAAAAGTCTGGCATCACTGGTTAGAGGTATGGTTACTCTAAAAATATAACAAGTTTTTTCTGATCCAATTATAAAAAACGGTATTTTATATCAATATCTATATTGTTGATATCCTTCGATCCCCTTAATCATTATAAGACGCTTTACCCATGTCATCCGTTACTCAGTGCTGAATTATGCTAATATAATATTAAATTAAATAAAACAAATTAAGTCCTAAAATAATTGTATAGAATTATGCTCACTTCTTTATATACTCGTTTATTTACATGAATACAAATGCTCCTTGCATGAATGAATATGCAGAAACTATTTTTTTAATTGAACTTAAAAAATCCCGACTCTTTATTAGATTACAAAGCAATGCTTCGGTCATGCTAAGCCGATAGCAATTTGGCATTGTTCCGTGCTCTTTTCTGCATTATTCATTCAAACTTTTGAATATACATTTATATTAATTTATATGTATATATGTACATATATACTATGCTATTTGTGCATATGTACAAGAATGTTGACGTGCACGTTTTTACCCAAAATTAATAACACTTTTTTTGTTTCTTATAATATTGCATGAAATAAATCAAAGGTGTCTGCATTATAATCACGATTAAGTGAGATTATCAGCAATTGTTGTTGCCTACCCATGCTATAAACATATTTATGCATTTTTAATCTTAAGAAAGTGTATATAAATCTTATAAATAAATAAATATTGAATTATATATTTATAACTATGTAGAAATATACTTATGTACATACATATGTTCGTAAAATTGTGTTCAAAATAAAAATAAAACGAGCGAACTAAGTATAAATTACATTTTGCAGCAAAATAACACAAAACATCGCTCAATTATTCCTCAATATCTCCAGACTTAGTGTGGTGGCAACACTAGAATTATCAATGTCGCCGTCGCCGCTACTGTTGTCGCATTGGGCCTTGTGTTGTTGTTGTTGCTCCAATTGGTGTTTGCCGGCAAGCAGCTGCTGCAGTCTGTTATAAAAGCGTAGCTCCAACTGCGCCGACGTCTGTCATCAAGTGTCGTTCGTTGATATCGTGTGAGTGCTCCGATTTCTCGTATTTTCAATTTTTTGAAGTTAAAATCATAAATTAAACCAATCAAAATGGCCGTATGGGAAGGAAAGAAATACAAATTGGAGAAAAGTGAAAACTTTGATGAATACATGAAGGAATTGGGTAAGTTTCATTCATTGACTTCTTGTGCTTTCTTATTGGTCCGTTAGACAAACAGGAAACAGGTCAACTTATTATGAAAGAATTTCTTCCAATAAGATTTTAAACTTTACAGTGAACTCGCTTCTTAATGGCATTCACATTTTTAATTTTTGTGTATAATTCATAGAATTAAGGAAAAAAATCAATATTTATAAAATGAAGCGAAATTTTTGTCTTGCAAACGGACACTTCATTTAATAATTTTTAGTCACAGGTGGCGTGATTTGTGATAGGCATTACTTGCTGGTGGGCAATATGAGTGTGTGTACATTGCGTACCTATGTCCATACATAAGTATGTACATATGTATGTCTGCATATATTTACCGCATTGCTGTTAAAGTATAGAAGATGAGAATCGATTTTTTCTTCAACGGCCCTGCCTGTGGTAGCATCAATTTACAATAACTCTGTTCTTTAGTACAGCCAACTGCCGGCATAGAATTTGCATTACACTAAACCGGTTTTTTGAGTTGTTGCAAAAGTTTGCAATAAAATTTCGACCGGTAAAAATAACAAAAAATCAAGAGTGTCTATAAAAATATTTGAAGGTGATAATGAACTTCATTTGAAGGTATGTACATAAGTGCATCTTGTGCATACAATATATTTTGTATGTACATATATTTGTGGGCATTAACTAAGTTGGCACTGATGGCATTTTCGAATATACATACCTACATACGTAGCCACTGGGTAGGTTCAAAGTACAAATTTAAATACTAACATATACATTTTGCTGCTAGCACACAGATTTGCGAAATAAAATTGAACTTGGACCTGGAAGATTTGTGAATGAAGAGATGAAAAATTCGGCAAATAAATATGTACTTGTATGTAAAAAATATGTATTTGCTAAAATTGTACACTTTGTACATAATAACTTTTACTGTTATAAGTGAAAGAAATTTTGGAGTTAGGAGTTACTAAGTAGAAACAATAATTTTTATTAACATTTTTTTTTATATGTTTTAAATTGTACACAAATTTTTCTTTTTCTTTTTTTTGTGTATTGAAAACATACATTTCAGTTAAAAATGTATGGCCTTAACTCTAGCATTAAGATTTTAAATAAAAAAAAATATATATTCTAAGTGAATTAGTGTTAGTATTTAAGGTGTTTAGGTTTTGTTAAAAGGGTTTTCTTTTGCCTAAAACGTTAAAAAATAAATAAACTCAAATAAATAAATTAATAACTTTTTTAGTAAAACTTCCTTAAGCACTAATGTAGTTCTCATCTGCAATCATATAAAATTACATTTCCAATGGCTTCGTCATAGAAGAAAAAGAAAACAATGAATATATTTTTATTTTCGAGTATACCTATTTTAAAGTTTTTTATTCTCATTCTTAATTTATTGAATTGGAAATTTAAAATGGGATGATTTTAGAGAGATAGAAATTTTTTTTATTCTAACAAGTTTCAATGATTTTTCGCACTGATACTCAGCGGGTGTACTTTATAAGTGCTTTTATCATGGCGAGAACAATATTATAGAACTCCAGATAAAGCTCATTTAACTTAGTAAAAATATTATAAAAAAAAAATTGGTGTATAAAAAAATGTAAAAAGAGAATAGGAGAGTTTCAAAATTAGAGACTTTGAAGTATGCGAATATATATATGTGTTTATATATGTGTATATATTTATATATGTATATATTTTTATTTTTATGTATGTATATATTTTTATTTTTATGTATGTATATATTTATATATAATTGGCGTTTTGTAACCGCTGATGCGATTACTATTTAAAAGTATTTTATTGTGTAATTATATAATTACATACATATTTATTGTTATATTGGTATATAATTATATTTATATATATAATTAATTGTTTTATCATATGAAAATAAACAAAACTCTTAGGTAATACATTTTTCGAAATATTCCAAATACTTGAGTTTTTGATAATTCACAGCATTTTAACTAAAAAATAACAATTTCAAGTAATTCAATATTTAAAATATGTACATACATATATACTAAATTCCGTTAAGAGTAAAACCGCATTTACAACAACTTCTTTGCATATTATTCATACAATATATTTATTACACATGCACGTATGTATATTTGTCTATAGTACTTGCAAATATCCGTTAAACGAAACGTAAATAAAGGTCTTATCAGCAATTTCGATGAACAGCCAACCGGCCGGCGTTTTACAGTTGACAGATGAGATATGCATATATGTATATATGTATGTATGAACACGTATGTTTGTAATCATATATGCATGTGCATTTTTATATTCATATCCCTGCCGAAAATGTTTGTAGGCAGAATGAGTACAGGTCGTAAAAGAATACGCGACGAATACCACTTTTAATCACTGTTTTTGTAATGAACTGCTCTCTTTTTTTTGGAAATACTCTCTCAACTATTGTGAAAATAAAAAGGAAGAAAACCATTTTTTTTTATCCCTAAAATTATGCAATTTATCTCGGCATATAAAAACAGCACAACTCAAAAAATCTCCAATGTCCAAAGAGACAGATAAGAAAGTTCCAGTAATAGTCTGGTCTTTATACCGAAACAACTCAGATTTTTATTGCAGATTTCAAGTCCCCAAATTTATTTTGAAAAATAGCTGCATTTACTTATAATAGATCATTTCAAATTCAATTAAATTAAGTTTAATTATAAAAGACACTACTGGAAACCTTGAACAATAGAGAGAAATCAGCTCAGTCGCTTTTATGGGCAAAATCAAATCGCCGCTGGTTTCTACGGGACAAACGTTAGAGGTGGTATCGCTTTCGGTGGTAACTTTCCATTTACATGACCATGGTAGAGGCTATAAAGTAATCTAGCTCACTTTTTATATTGATTACCTTTTTGTCGATTTCTATTATCAGTTGTCAAACTCATGCATGCAACTCTGCGGTAAAAAATGAAATATTGTCACGAATGACAACTGCAATGAGGAAGAAATTCAATCGGGTGATCACAGGTGTGAGTTCAAACTAGAAACAGGCACTCGGTTTTCCTAACTTGAAGGCTGTCCAAAGTACATGCATAAACGTATGTCGGTACGTTTTTGGCTAGATGTTTGCAGTCATTCGATTTCTGGTTTATGGTATAAAATATTGTGAAATTTTGAGTTGTAACGTTTTTCGATTTAGTGTGCGATATATATTAAGTGTTCATTTTATATTGGCCCTTAATAAGTATCTGCCATATTCACTTGACTTTTCGACTTTGATCTGCACTTTGTATTTTTTATTGTAACAATTTGTTGTTGAAATTGAACAAAGTACCACGTTTATTGCACTAATATTGTGTTATCTATGACTAGTTTATATATTGTACATATGTACATTTACATGTGCATAAATACACACTATTGTTATTATTATGTGTATGGTTATGGAACTAAAACAAAATTAGAAACTTTCTTATGGTTGATAAATACAAACAAACACACATATATAAATATGTAGGCACATACTTCTTCACACAACTCTGAGTCTGATAATTGCACTTTGCCTTTGTTTTGTTTGATAATATAATATTATCAGTAGAAGACCCACAGAAAGCAGATTAAAATGTAAATCATTAATATTGTAACATATACAGTATATTTAAGATAAAACATGCATATCCTGCCCATTTATTTGTTAATAACGACAGATAAATTTAAATAACAAAATGAGTTATTTCGCGAGAGGCAAATCTTTATTTTTATTTCTTGAATATCTTTGCTTGCATAAGTGCGTAAATCTTCCCCAAATAAAATAATTATTAATATACATATACATATATATGTAAGTATGTATGTACGACTGCATTCGGTGCATAAAAATGATGGATGGTGGTATGTGAGACGGTGGTTATAGAAAGAAACTCAGTGTCATGTCAAGCGAGTTCAATTTAATTTATAAATTTTATGAATTGTCTGTTGCAACACAGACAAGATACAGACTCACAAATATACATATGTACATTTACCAGTGGTGTGTATATAAATAGATGCCGCTTAAGTTGATATGTCTTGTGATACAATTAAATTAAGAGTTCCTGCTGACCTCTCTAAATTCTACAGTTTAATTTGTTGGATGCACAAATGATCTTTACTTACATATGTATGTATGCATATCTATGTATATACATAAGTGCTACATACATATGTACATATGTATATGTATTATGTATAGCCACCCAAATAAATAATTCAATAATTTAATTGAACATCTCTTGAACTAATAAAGTTAAATAAATAAATTAATACATACATATATCGTACAACAAATGCGAAAAATGTAAAGAACAAATCTTAAGCATACTCATGTGTGTATGAATGCTTAAAGAAACGAGAAATAGAGAAATAAAAGTTCCCTTATCTGAATTACGTTGGACCTTATGTCGAGATTAATCTGCATCGCTTTCTCCTTTTCATATTCCACTTTTGAATTTATTAACGTCTCTTTTGTAACGAAAATTCTTTAACTTGGAATTTTATTTCGCTGTTAAATACATTATTTAAGTTTTTAAATGTACGTATAAATACTGATATTGAAAGTTTAACCATGTTTAACCATAATAACTAAGCCGAGTAAAATAGAAAACAATTCTCTTTTTACGTTTTTTTTTTTTGCTTCAACACTATTTTTAATATGCTAGAATTTTTTATATTAATCCATTTCACATTTCAGAATATACTTAATAAATAATTAATAAATTAATTAAATTAACTCTTAGCAGAAATTTTTTTCTATCATTTACACCGAATTCCTTTTTAAACGATTTTTTTTTGGATCGTATTTATCGTGTACTCAGTTTGGGTTGAGGATTCATTTTCGGCAAAATGAGGTTGGCAAAACTTCGAGCTTCACCGTAGTTGCACACCGCAAATGTTTTGCAATTTTAAAAAATTGCAATAATAAAAAATAATTCTGAACAGATACATTTTTGGAAATTAAAACCAGTTAAAAACCAATGGTCGAAACAAACAAAAATAAAGCGACTTAGCCGATATGAGTATGTCATGTAAATGAAAAGTTACCACCACTTGGGTATGGCTGTTACTGACACTTGTCTCGTAGAAACCAACGACGATTTGATTTTCCACATTAAATCGACTCAGCGGATTTCTCTCCATTGTCACCAATAAATCCTTAAATTGTGAAGAACGTTATAAATTTAAATATTTAAATGTATGCAAGGTGACAGTGTATTACAATTGGCCTATTGGCCTAAGTGTGACGGGGTTTGACCAGCAGCCGCATCAACTCAACCCAACTCAAGGTGCCAGTGTGCTGCAGATTCCTCTTCCAGTCGGGTCGTACGGCTGGGAGGTATGTAAAGTGGCTAGTTGGTCTACGTGTATAACGTGTGCAAAAGGATGATAGATGACCAACTATTGGTGCAGCGTTGGCGTCAGCGTTGGCGTCAGCGTTGCTTATGAGGGAGTCAATCTGACACACTGAAGTTCTATCTGCCATCGCTTAAAGTTTATTTAGTCCATTTGAACTGCACTTCAAAGCAACACAAAATTCATACTTGAAGCAATGTGATTAGCTTACTATTTCAATAATTGTAAATATGTTTGAGTATTTTTATTGATTTATTAATTTTTTTTTAGGTTAGGTTACGCTTTGTAAAAAAATATTCACTTATCCATTTTCTTTTTACTGGATAATTTTATTATCAATACACAGTGGTTTTGAATGAAGTAACTTTTGGATTTGAAGGCAAATTATAACCTCAAAACTCTTAGCGATAACTCTTAAATCTAAACTATAATTTGAATTGTAAACTGTAGCACCGTAAAATTAAAATTACACGAGCAGATAAATGAGTAAAGTCACACGCTGAAACTTTTATTTTTGAAATTGGTTGAAATTATATTACACCAGTTAGTGCAGCAGAGATTTTTTATAGCAAAGTAAAAATATCGTGAAAGTTGCCACGTCTTTCGGGGCCTTTTGTGTTAACAATTGCACTTAAGGCATTTTCGTTTAAAAATTACTACCATCACTCGGGAGTAAATCGTGCAAGAATTTGATCCAGCTTATGTACATATGTATATGTGTATGTAAAATGTTGCATCTGTATATGCATATTCAATTACAATTAATGTAGGCTAAGTGCATCATGAGCTTCTCAGAAAATGCCTCAAATTTGTTGTTATGTTCTATATACAGATGCATACGTAAACTCATTTGTACAGTTACGTGCATTTACGAACACGATTGCACGAGCTACACACATACATACATATATTTAATTTAATTCAACATTCCACGCCACTTTATATTGTTAAATGGTTGGCTTGTTATGCACACAAGTGTATCTATAAATTCTGGTGAAGATGAATGTATGTACATATGTATTTTTGCGACCCTTTTTCCGAAATCATACTTCAGTTTTTTGATGCTGATTCGTGTTGATTACTCATAATTGAATTTGATTTGATCACTTTGAACTTTGATGGAACCAGTTTTGGGTAATTTTATTATTGTATAAATTTTTATTTTATTTTTTTACTATTTCGATCACTCAATCAAAAATTATCTCAACACATTATTGAGTTGAGAATCGACCTTTTCATAATACTGTTAGTCAATAATAATCGTCTGCCCTTCTCTTGACTTACTGTTTGTTATAGTAATTAACACCGTTACCAAATATTCATTCATACAGACAGACATGAACATAAACGATTAAAGTACATACCGTTGCTTGATATGTGCAATGTTAAATTGCATAATTGATCCACATAAAATTTGACACAACCGCAAAGCTATTGCATTTCAATACAACACTTTTACCTTGAATTGTAATCAATATTAATTGAGTGTTTAAAGGCTACATTAAACAAGTAAATATACTTATTCATTTCTTCTTTTTTGCAATTGCAGGTGTTGGCATGGTATTGCGTAAAATGGGCAACAGTGTTAGCCCCACCGTTGAACTGAAGCAAGATGGTGATAACTACACCTTCACCACCACTTCAACCTTCAAGACATCCACAATCAACTTTAAGTTGGGTGAAGAATTCGATGAAGAGACACTTGATGGACGCAAAGTGAAGAGCGTCATTACTTTGGATGGCAACAAATTGGTGCAGGAGCAGAAGGGCGACAAACCCTCAACCATCATTCGTGAATTCACCGACAACGAATTGGTGACTGTGAGTATATTTAATTTTGAATTTTGAAAATATTGGAAATTTTTAAACAATTTTTTTCTTCGTCTTATTATATAGACCCTCACCATAAACAATGTGAAATCCGTCCGAGTATACAAGGCTGTATAAGTGCGGCGCGGGAACAGCCACCAAATACTAAAGAAAAAACTATAATTTAAATGCCAACTCTTGCGATAACTTAGAATTGAAATACTAAGAATTATATATTATATTTTGGTTTTGAATATTCCAATTTTCGTTTGACTGAATGTACGCTGACTTTTTTTTTTAATTTTAATAATGCATAAACTGTAATTTAAAGTTTGATTTTGTTATTAAATAACAGAAAACTATATATTTCTATGGTGGAGCGCTTAAGTGATGTATGTATATCATTAAGTACATTTACATGTATTTATAGATAAATGAGAACAAAAAAAAATATTACTGATGAACTGTTAAGCACAAAACTAATTAAAATAGCAAGCATGTAGCTTTTTGTAATAAATAAATTATATTAAAATCAAAACTGCACATTTTTTTAATTTTTTATTATATTAATTTTGAACGAAAGCGAGGAATGAGAATAAAAGTTTGCATCATGATTATTAAGGTTGTTTACTTGCATTCTTTTTAATATTTTTTTGGAAATATTTTATTTGGAAAAAAAATTATAAACCAATTAATAATTATGTTATTAACATTATCTGCTTGCGTAAAAAAAAGTATTGTCTTTTTTTTTTTAAATTTTGCGTCCAAAAAAAGGAATATGGCTGGCCACGGTGATTTTGGTTCAATCGGTTGGATAGAAAGTTTTTATCATTCGGGCCGATATAATATTTCGAATTTAATTTTAAAATTTTTACAGTGTATTCTTACTAAAAAAAACATGTTCCCGCGGCAGTCGGGTCTTTATCCGGAACGACCCGGATTTTTATCCGGCCAAGGACTGTCACTCCCGCAATATTCCCCAAAAAGTACTTTGGGGAATAATTTTGCGGTTACAACAACAACAACAACAACAACAACTAAAAGAACATATAATATACCTAGCAGATCATAGTTTTTCATAGAACTTTTATGAGTATGAATACAATCTAGACTTACTGAAGTTACTCGCCCATTTTGAACTATATTATGCGCCAACAATCACACGCATAAATTAATTATTATTAAAATTACAATAACTCATTGAAGCAGATATAATACGTGTTGAACAATGATTGACAGATGTACTTCTCACCTATCCCACTGAATATGTGAGAACACAACTACAGTTGGACGGAAAGGTGTAGAATATGGAATATTGGATTGCTTTAGCACAATTACCAAACAATATGTTTTTTTCGGTTTGTACCGTGGTATAAGTACCATGCTTTACGGAAGTACAATTATATTTTCGCTTTGGCTAATTTGAATTTTTTAAGTCATGCCTTGTTGGTGACAAGAATAGACTTTCAACACTTGATAGTTTCTTAAGTGGATTCGGGTCTAGAATTGTAGAATCTGTTGATGTTACAAAGCCAATGGAAACTTTGAAGATGAAGCGCATAAACGATCATCGTAGTGAGAAACCAAAATTTCGGGGAATGTTTCATGCTCCACGAACAATCGTAAAACACAAGCTACATACATACGAACATGCATATGCAAATGCTTCTGCGTGCACATAGTTTCCTCATCAGACTTCTTTCTTAATATTGTACATCTTTTTCGAACACATGTCGCTTTCACTTATTGTTGTTTTTCAGTATTTCCAAAAACAATTCAACAAAACAATTCCACTTCCGGTTTTAATTTAAAACTTACGAAAGGTTCGAGATGTGCAATTACAATGAAATAGTTATTTCGATAATTTTCCATTTCAAAGTAAATCATCGTTGTATAATAATTGTGGTTTATAGGGTGGCAAAGACGAAAATTTTTGTAAAATATAATGGAATGAAAAATATTACGTATTTTCTATTTTTCATGAAATTAAAATGCACAAAATCCACGTAACTTCAAATTGCCGGTAGAAGAGTTGGATTTAATTGTCTTCGAATGGCTCAAAAACTACGCTATTGCTTTACTAGAACAGCAGACTTTACTTTTATATTCACATTGATATTGTTAAAACACATTAAATAAATGTGCCATCACCTTGTAGTAGAGTCACTTTATCATCGCTAAGAATTAAAATCAGCTGTTCCGTGCATAAACTATCTGTTTAATATTAATTTATTGATATCAGGAATAGATAAAACAGTTAGTTGATAAAGATTTTGTGGTTTATGTAATTCTAATTTTATTAGTAAATAATTATGAAGAATACAATCATGTGTGTAGTACGAGTATAAGTTGCTTTGTATGCTGCGCAATGGATAAAAGTTTGAAAAGTGTTTTGTGTGGTGGTTTGGCTGGAGCTACAGATGTGGTCCTAACATTTCCCACTGATTATGTAAAAACACAGCTTCAATTGGATGAAAAAGGTTATATACCGTACCTTATATTGAATATATAACATTTTCTTGATAAATATAAAGGTGACAGAAAGAAATACACTGGAGTGTTTGATTGTATTAAAAAAACAAGCAAACAATATGGCGTTTCCGGTTTGTACCGTGGCATGAGTACATTGCTCTACGGAAGTATTCCAAAAACGGCAGTATGGTAAGTTTTTCGGTGGCATTCCTTACTTATGCCAATATGTATGTACTTGAGTTATAATTACAAAATATAATCAAATATCTAATAATATTTTAATAATTTACCAGTTTTGGGTCATTTGAATTTTTCAAAGCACAACTTGTTGATGAGGGAAATACACTTTCAACATTCAATAGTTTTGTAAGTGGATTTGGAGCCGGTGTAGTAGAATCTGTCATTGTTACAACGCCAATGGAGACCATGAAAGTGAAACTCATAAATGACCGCCGAAGTGAGAAACCAAAGTTTCGGGGGATGTTTCACGCTGCTCGAATTATTTTGCAAACCGAAGGTATGAATTAATTAGCAAAAAACGTTTGTTCATCGGAATTAAAACGAAAACAAGTATTTTGTGTGGGAACTTTGTAAGCGTAGTGGAACTGCTGTCAAGAGAACTTCACCGATCATTACAAAAATTAAATTTACAGGCTTTCGTGGTATTTATATGGGTCTCACACCAACATTAATGCGGCAGTGTTCGAACCATGCAATTAGATTTCCCATTATGGAAACATTTAAGAACTATTACAGAGGCGACGATCCGACAAGGAAACCACCAAAATGGATGACAGCCGTCTTCGGATGCCTTGCCGGTGCCTCCGCAGTGATAGCCAATACACCGATTGATACGTTAAAAACGCGAATGCAAGGCCTGGAAGCTGCTAAGTACAAAAGTACTTGGGATTGCGTTCAGAAAATATATCAAAATGAAGGAAAATTGGCTTTCTATAAAGGAATGGTGCCACGTTTCATACGTTTGTCTCTACAAGCAGGGGTTATTTTCACCGTATATGATGTATATTCAGAGGCAATCGATAAATTAGATGATAAGCTGAAAGGAAACACGATAAACAGTTGACTGTTTATAATTAAGTATACAATTTGGAATTTACTACAATTAAATTGCCTTTAAAAGGTGTATTGTATATACATGTGAGTAATATTAATATCCTTTACAAATGCTCAATTAATTTGCAAATTATAACGCCATTATAATTATTTTAGTATAATGCTCGAAAATAATAGATTTTTGTTTAATGAAAATATGATTATCTTAATATCCATTAATTACCAGTTAAAATATTTTATTTACTCGATTATCAAGCCATTTTCCTTTTAGCTGCTTATTTAAAATTTGTTTTATTTAAAATTACCAGAAATTTTCAACTGGTAATGCAATTAAGTGATAATAAAGAATATTAAAATTAAGTAAAATATTATTTAATAAATTTGTAGAGGTAATTTTGCATAAATTATAAAAAACAGTATTTTGGCTGAACAGCGAAGTATACATTCGGAAGGCCCGGATTCAAATTCAGGTACGACCAAAACTTTCAAAAGTTATAGAGAATTAGTTTATATAAAAAATTAAGCTTTATTCTCTAATTGCGGTCGCCCCTCGGCAGGAAATGCTTATCTCTCCGAGTGTATTAAAAAACCATCAGCCGTTCGGAGTCGGATTAGTATAAACTGTAGGTCCCTCCATTTGTTGGGAAAACATCAAGACTCAAACCCACAAATTGGGGGAGGAGCTCGTCGAAAAGTCGCTTCGGCGGTGCTAAGCGCGAATTACATATACATATATATGCGGACGAAGTGTCATTATTTCACCTTATATGGAAACTGAAAGTTTAGTTGATCAACAGATTCAGCGCTCGATTCTTTTGACATCTGAAAGTTGTGCCTAAAAACGATTGGAAAATAAGGTTAAGTGTATATTTACAACAAGTGAAGCTCTCACAAAAGAAATGTTGCCTTCTATAACTTCTCTGCTTTTTGAATTTTCAGCAGTTTCCACCCTCCTATTGAGTCTTGAAGCCGTCAGCTGTTATTTCTGTTTTAACGCATGCGCAATGCAGTAATTTAATATCATTTTTCATGACCTTATTGTGGGAGTTGATTTACTGTAGTTGTCATTATCTAAGTCAGCGTTTGCCAAATTTTTTGGTTTATTAAATTTAACCACTCTCATGTCAAATATCATAAGCTATAGCCAATATTAACTTAAGTGTATAATAAACAGATTCCAAACAACAGTTCTGGCGCATAATGTGCTTATCTTCATTTTGTGATATATACTTCTATGCAAGCTTTAGTAGGGAGCCCCTGACCTAGGCAAATAAAGCCAAACGCATATGTGCATTTACATAAATAAAACACCCTCAGCGACCTATAAACCTTGTTTGTAGACATAAGTTTCATATTGCCGGTTGAATTCATGTGACGGGTGTGCAATTTTTATAATTTTTTAAGTGAAAATATTATTCAGGTATGTTTATTGCAACATCTTCGTTTACAATTAATGTTTAGGAGTTTCAAAAAATAAAAATTAATTGACCAGAATCTTGCCATGGCGTATACGTAACATGGCATTGGCATTGAAATCAAGCTATTGTAGATATCCATACATACGTGTATTATATGTAAGGATATATGTTTGTACGTATGAATGTACATACTTATACGAGTATATGGTGCGTACATGTGTTCAGTTTTGATGAATATGTTTGTATATATAAGTACTTAATGTGTTCTGGCAATGTGTTATCTCATGCATTTCATCTGATTTGGCACAACTATTTGTGCAGCCACCATTACAATAGGTTAGGTTAGGATGAAGTGGCTATCGCGATGTGTAAGTGGCAATACACTTAGTGTAAGCACATGTCCAAGTGCTTACCCGATCACTCAGCTTCATTAAACATCTATTTCTATTCCGTTATAAATTTAATTAAATAATTTCTCTTGAAGTATACTATTTTATTTATATTAATCTTCTAGATATCGGAACCTAGATGATGAGGTACTGTTTTAGGCGTTTATCGTCCTTATAGCTTCTGCAGCATCTCTTGAAGGGAACACCCAGGCTCGCTGCACATCCTCTTATCCAGCAATGACCTGTTAAGACTCCTACAACTTCAGATATTTCGCGTTACTTTTTTGCTCCATTTCGGACGAGTCTGTCTACAAATTCTGCAAAGAGCTGTATAGTTCCATCTTAATTTTGCCTGCTGATAGGTGAAGTCCTTAAGCTGAAGTTTGTGTGTAGAAATGGCATACTAATATGTTTTTTGTCGGAAAGAATCTGCTTGGTCGTGCCATGGCTGGAAAGCTCATCTGCCTTATAATTTTCCTCTTTGTACCTTTTACAGGGAACTCAAATGAGCGATAATCTGTTCTGTTTGGCCTTCTTCTATAGAGCTCGACAACAGTCCAGCATAATTTTGTAAGTCGCTGACTATTGCAGAAACGAAAGATATTATTGCTCGTGAGGTCACTTCCAATGTAGTTTTTTGCCTCTGAAGTCCCTGAAATATTAGTCACACTGCAATGATTAGATAGCCTGAAAGAGAGTTCCAAAGATGGGTCTCTTGAGAAGTCACCTTTTCAAACTCTTATTTATATGTTTCGATCCATATGTTTATAAGTTTTTGCTCCATTCATTCCTTTGAGGGATATGCGCTATATAATAGCTGCCAGCAAAAGTTGAGCTGCAGCGGTCTGTGATATTTGGTTTGAAAGTGTATCTTTCTAGGATTGTCTTATATCCTATGTTTTGCAGTTGTGGCAATAGCCTTTATAGGTCGAATCCATTTTTAGTTCTTGTTCTTGGAAGGGCTAGTAAACTGTAATTGTGAGTCTAAATCTCTGATACTTTCCTTCGAACTGATTAGTACATGCTGGTCATGTCATACTCGGCGCAAAAGATGCTTCGGACATGGCCAACTTCTCAGCTTTTCATAAAGGTATCCCACAATCAAACCGGATTTATAGAGAGAGATTAACATCAACATTGGTGTTGAACTTTATAAGTTTTGCGGGGGTACCACACTCAGGCAAGCGCCATAAAGGGCAGTTCCTTTTCGTGCTGGCCGATTTAGAAACGATTAAAAAGTTGTGTACATTGGTTCCTTTCCACGATTTGACCCATACAGGATTTACCAGGTCCAAAGCCAAACTAATAACGTAAAATGAGCTCGTTGACGTTGGGATAGATAAGACCTTATGTGCGATAATGAAGAGGCTTATGCCACAGTAATTGGCACATATTGTGGGGACCTCCTTTTTTTGGATCGGACAGAGTCCATATTTTGAAAAAAAAAAACTGTATGTATTAGGTTGCTCGTCAGTTCATCATCATAGTTGAATAGCTCAGCCGGTAAACTATCTGCAATCGCCATTATGTTATTCTTTAAGTGGGTAATCGCTATTCGAAAGAAGTTTTGCAATAGAACGTCGGGCACTTTAATTGAAGTGCTTCCTCTATAAACTTGGTATGCTCTGTACATCGGTCACCAGATTACTTCCTTGTATTCTACTTGAGTATGCTCAGGACACGTCATCTTTTCATTAATTTTTGCAACATCGTCCCCATCGGACAGCTTCTCAAGCTCTTCATTCTCACACATTTCCGCCTGTACACAAAATTTTTTTTATTCCGATCTCTTTGAATCCAAATCCGATTTTCCCGATCATTATCCATTGTAGCGGGAGCAAATAACGATCCAGGGGTTCTATGATTTTGGGGAAGATTTATCGCTCTCTGGATATGGACTAATAAAGCAGATGGCTTAATGAAGAACTGTGTAATATATTATATATGACGACATTCACATAGTTCAGCGAATTAAGAGACCGCGGTTACCCCGGCAAGGTCATGTGTCCTGAAAGTATTCGACGCAGTACCGGCTAGTGGAAGCAGAGGAAGTGGAGGACATACACTTCGGTGGAAGATCAGGTTGAGAAAGAGGACTTAGCTTCACTAAGTGTCTCCAATTGATGCCAAACAGCCAAAAGAAGAACCGACTGTCGAACTATTCTTAATTCGGTTTTAATCGCGGCGCCTACGCCATAGAAGAAGATTACTTTCGGCCTAATGGGAAGCAGGTTACTGTTTACAGTTGACAGTTTTTTCTTTATGCCAAAATTTTCGTATAAACAAATTATGTCAGTAAGAAAATTTCGAAAAAAAAGATAGATTAGATAATTAAGTAAATAAGAGTCATCGCTAAAAATCCCTTTGTGCAAACAGAAGTTATGAGAATTAATCAACTATTCGATCAAAATGTTGCTAAAAATTTTAAAAACCCTTTCACCGAGCGTCCTTGGTTACGCGGTAATATGCACGCTGCAGCTAGCGCTAAAAGTGGCAAAGGTTTAAAGGGTATCATTGCTGGAGGCCTCACAGGAGGATTAGAGATATGCATTACCTATCCGACGGAGTATGTGAAGACACAACTGCAATTAGATGAGAAAGGTGATCTGATCTGATCTGATCTAAGACTATCATACAATTATTTTTTTTTGTGATTTATTTCATAGGAGACAAAAAGCAATATAGCGGCGTCTGGGATTGTGTTAGAAAGACTGTGAAGCAGCATGGGTGGCTTGGATTATATCGCGGTTTGAGTGTCCTAATACTCGGTAGTATACCGAAATCAGCAGTACGGTTAGAGGCCACACATAATTCTGATAAAATGTAAAAAAACTGCTTTTGTCTTTCACATAGATTTGGAGCTTTTGAATACTTCAAGAGCCAGTTGGCGGATGAAAACTATCAGTTATCGCCAGCGAATCGTTTGCTGGCAGGACTGGGTGCTGGTGTTTCTGAGGCTATATTGGCAGTCACGCCAATGGAAACGATAAAAGTTAAATTTATAAATGACCTCCGCAGTGGGAGTCCTCAATATAAAGGCCTGTTTCACGGCGTCAGAACAATACTGAAAAGTGAAGGTGATAAAAAAATTATAGAACGTACATAAGAAATGTTACACAAATCCTAAATTGCATATCTATGTATGCGCAATACAATGTCTACAGGCATTGGTGGCATATATAAAGGTCTCACAGCGACAATACTCAAGCAGGGCTCCAATCAGGCGATACGATTCTTTGTCATGGAAACATTAAAGGATCTCTATAGAGAGGGTGATCCTAATAAGCATGTGCCTCGGTATGTGGTAGGAATGTTTGGTGCTATCGCTGGTGCTGCTTCCGTATATGGCAACAATCCAATTGATGTTGTTAAGACGCGCATGCAAGGTCTGGAGGCCAAGAAATATAAGAATACTCTGGATTGTGCATTACAAGTGCTTAAGAACGAAGGTATATTGGCTTTCTATAAGGGTTCTATTCCACGATTAGGTCGTGTTTGCTTGGATGTTGGTATAACATTCATGATTTACGACACTTTTATGGAAATCTTTGAAAAAATATGGAAATAACTGTATATGCTCATATCTAAATTGGTGAAAAATGAAATACATTTTTGAATTATATTTAAATGCCTTTTTTCGGAACCGAAGGTCACGTGACCTCATCGAGTTCAAAAGGAAGGAGATATCTACAGGTCTTCTTACAGGGCATATCCTATTCGGCAGGCACGCAGAGAGACTGTGCCTACTATCTAACGATTTCTGAAGAAGTTGCAGAGAAGAACCTGAAACCTTAATGCACTTTCTTTGTGAGTGCTCCGCGGTTTGGAGGAGTTTCCAGTTTTAGATTTAATTAATTGTTTATACGTCACTCAGAAACTCACATTAAAAACAGAGTGTCTTCTGCACCGCTCCGTTTTAGTTTGGTATACATATATATAAATAGCGCTGTCCAAGAGCTTAAGCTATTTTCAACCGAGCTCCTCCTGCAATTTGTGGTTTTTCGTCTAGAAGTTTTTCGAACAAATAAAGAGACACAAAATTTGTTCTAAGTCGCCTTCGAACGGCCGATGGATTTTTAAAAGGAGCTTTTATTTCATGTCAGAAAAACAATCGCAGAACTTGACATTCCCCACCGAGAGACGACCGCAATTAGCAAAATTAATTTTCCACTAAAGCCCGGGCCTTCCAAATTGCAATACGCAATGTAGCCAGTATTCCCTGTTGGTGAAATGAAATGGAGATTAATATTTTTAACCCACGCTAAGAAACCGACTACAGAAAAATAAATAACTGGCGAGCTGGGAGTTAAATGAAGCTTTGTTCACGTCTACTAAAAAGGAAGAAAAGCTTCCTGCCTTAATGTACTTACTGTTTGAGTTCAATAAATTGCTGACATTTTTGTATCACCTACTGGTCGAGGGAAACAGTGGTGAGCTTCGATAACATACGATAATCGTTCCACAGCGAAACGAGGTGGTTGAAAAGAACAACCAAAAGCTTCAACTTAAAACAAGTTTTTTTTAGAGCTTTTTCATTATTTTTTACTAGTTATGTATATACAAAAATATATATAATATATTTCATTAAGAATTATTCTTATGTAATGAAAGAAGAGCACTGAAGAGAACACATGGAAAGTATATTTCAACGGGAAGATCGGTAAATAACGACTCGGTGCACTCTTTCCATTAGCGCAGGTAGTTGTTGGTAAAGTTGATTTAAAGATATGCGTTTGACTTTGTTGACGTTGTTGGTGATCGCAGTAAGCCAACTTTTGATTAGTGAACCTTTTTGGCTCTCTCACCCTCTCTCTCTCTCACTCTCATTAACTGACACCCATACGCAATGAACACGTTCTCATTAAAGTTCTTGTTGTTGAGCTCTTTGCAGTTGTGAACTTGCACCGGCGCGCCGCGTCGTGTTAACGGGTGATCCATTACGTATTATAGCAAAGCAACACACCATATTTCAAGTATCCAAATATCTATAGCAATATATATGTGTGTAAATCTGTTTGGTACATATATATACTCATATATATAAGCACTTATGTGCATTTGAATATATTAAAAACTTCAATTTTAAGCAAATATATGTATGTATACAAATAACTTGTACATATGTATGTATGTAGGTATCAAACTGAGAGAAACTTGAACTTTTGTTGACGTTTTTGTTTTCCATTTTTATAAGTCTTTGCAAAGACACTTTGTTATTGTACTTGAGTGCATAGTATAATACATACATACATACATATAGTATACATTTATACCAATGTGTCTTTGTGGACTTTTGATTTGGAAATTGGAAAGAGCTGGCCAATATACCCACATACTCATTTACATTTATGCATACACACACACGCACACACGCACACATCCAATAAACACATTGCATTTACATACATATATTTTATGGAGAGCTTTGTATTGGCATTTCCATTTCCGAAGCGTTGTGGCGACCAACAGCAGCAACAGTCAGTACAGTGTATCGTACGATCGCCAACGACAGTGGTGCGTGTTTTTTTGTGGTCGCTCAAGCGCGCGCATTTAGTTCGGACGGTTTCCGATTCGAGTTTGATTTGATTGCTAAACTTTTAAAGGTACATACCTACTTATGTACAAACATACATATGTATCTACTTAAGCATAAAGATTATGCGTGTGAAAAGCAATTTTTTCTTTTATTTTCCGAAAAGGCTTATCGAAAACAAAAGTTTTCGGCAAGAAAATGTAGTGATATTTTTTTTTTGCTACTATAAATGTTTAAAAGCAACCCAATAGGGTACATGGCGTGATAGTGATAACACAACACCAAAAAAAAAGAAGAAAAACAAATTCTGTAGATGTACTAACACATACATATATATATACATATATGAAAATACTAATTTTAATTTTTTGTACACACATGTATATAAATGTGTAGGTGCATATATGTGTGTAGACACATATAGTTTTCAATATATTTATTTCTATATATTATATATTTTGCCTCTGTTATATAAAGTATACTCCATTATTTCCATTTGTGCAAGAAAACACAAATCGTATACCTGTCTTTGATATTGGATTTTCCAATAGATAGTATATACATTATTTTATATGTGTTAATATACATATGTATGTGGGTATTTGTATACATATGTATAAGTAAGCTTGACCCTTTTGACAGGCAAAACATATGTTTTTCTACGTGTAATCATTGCCTACTTAAAAATCAGTAATTTTTGATAATTGAAATCAGTATTACGAATATAGTGAAATCAACCAAAAACTAGAATTCTTCTTATAGTTGTTGCTATATTTTCCCGGCCGGTTGCAGCTATTTATCTGTAGTTAAAATATATATATATTTTTTTTAATATTTGGGTAGTTAATAATTTTATTTTTATAATTATTTTGAAAAAAATTTTTTTATTAACCTCAAAACTGTTTTTTAGTTACAAAAAATTAATGCAAAGAATTATTATGAAGATCAACAGCAATGTTAAAAGCAGACATGTATATACATATATACATTTGTGCATAGACATTGCCATGTATTACCTTAATTATGTAGTATTGTCTGGTTCACAATTAAGATCTATTTAAATTTTAAAGTATCTAGGCATGTATGAATAGATTCATAAATATACTATGACATTGATACACACACTCCTGCCATCTACTTTCATGTCCAGTTAGATCTTTAAATAGATCTGTATGTATATATTTACATATATTGCGGTTGAAAATTCGCTCCAGCGTTTACAAAGCACCAATTATATTATATACATATAAGTAAATATTGCAGTTATCATACAAGTACAATAGAACGAATCTTTTTTATATTAATTTTGCAAATTTTGCCGCCGTTGCAGCGCATTTTCAATTAATGAAGCATTTCATTCACGATAGCAATAAACATCGATAGCACATATTTTTAAATACTCATATAGCGGACGTAATAGCCGTGTGGTTAACATTGTGTACGGCCAGTCGGAAGATTAGGGTTCATGTTCCGTTTCGACCAAACATCCAAAACTAATTTTTGTAATTGCAGTTCCCTCTCGGCTGGAAATGTCCATCTCGCTAAGCTCCTCACAAAAATCCATGAGCTATTCGAAGGCGGCTTAGTATAAATTGTATGTAGGTCTCTCCATTTGTTGGAAAAACATCAAGACGCAAACCATAAATCGGAGGAGGAGTTCGGCCTAAAATCGCTTCAGCAGTTACAAAGCGTCATATGTGTATATATATATATATACAATGTATATACACATACATATATATGTGTACAAAAAAGTGCATTGAAATCCAAAAAACTTTAACTAATTAATAAAACAATATACATATGTATGCGTGCATGTGTAAATATTCCTTCGATTATTCCTTATATTTAGCACATGCTACGAAAAACTTTGGCCATCTGAGAAACAAAAATAAACAAGCGTATTTATTTACATACATATTATAAAAATCTAGTTCATAGAGTACTGAAATTCATCACATTGTCCTTATGTAATCCTTTTATTTTGAGCTTTTGTACTGTACCACCAGTTATCCAGCTCACCTTGCCAGACATGAGTTTGTCAAGCAGCCAACATTTCGGTAAAACAAAAAAAAAAAAAAAAAACAATGTTTTCTGCAAACAGCTGAGCAATGTCAACGTCAGAGAAACTAAACCTAGTGTATATGAATTGGTCGAGTGATTGAAGTACAAATAGACGTAGGAGCGTGTTTACAAAACACTAGCATACCTAGATACGAGTTCTTAACCATATGTATGAGTATGTAAATAAGTATATATTTACTTACAGATATATTCATCATACGACTATGAATGTGCATATGTACATATGGAATTTCATTTCAGTGGCGCCGGTAAATGGTTTATAAACCAAACTCTCAATAATTTCGTTCTCTTCTGGAGGTAGGTTTATTCTTTAATTCGCATCCGTAAATTTTATATTGAATTCGTTTAAATTTTTTCTTCCAATTTCAAGACGAGAGATTACGCGGCGGGGAATTTTCTCTCGCAATAATGCCATGTCTGTTCGTGCTGGACGACACTGTCCAAGTCGTGTTATTCAATGACCGTAATGGACTCTCATCAATTATTTGAGGATTCCCAGAAGCGACAATTTTGCTTATTTGCTTATTCTCCTTGTGGGAACTGAGAAGCAAAACATGGTTGGGATGACAGTTACGTTTGACAAATGTCAAAATACAACGTTGTGCTTTTGAATTAAATTATAATATATAATTTTGAGACATCCCTTACAACGAAAGCTTTTTTAGTTTGATATTTTGTATATACAATATACAGTAAAACGTTTATTTTTCGTTTGGACCTTGTTTATACTGAACGTTCCTTTGCAAGTGATATTCATCAACAGTAGTAAGCATGACAAATTAGTTAAGATAGTTCAACTCTCACTACAGCCGATTACGCACCGGAATCAACGCGGATTTTATTCGGTCAAATGATGTCATCATTTCGACTACCTATCCCCGTACAGATCAGATCAGCAGGTAACTTTAGATTACGATTCCTACGAATTAGAAAGAAAAGGGAAACACATAGAGTTTCCGAAAAATAATCAATTAGCTATAAATGATTAATTTCAAATTGTTGGTTACAGACGGCGCGGAAAACGATTCGCCCATAAAGGTTTCGACTTATAGCGGTTATTGTAGTGTTCAAATTCATGAGAGGTATTATTATATTATTTAGAGGTTCCTCGCTTATCGATTTGCCTTTCACCCAGGTTTGGCTGTAGATAATTGGCGCTTTCAACCAATAAAGCGCTTTCCGGTCTAAGCAGTATTTACAGTACAGAAATCTTTCTTGTCGTACTGTAGTGTCGTTCCGTGGCCTATGTGTCGAAAGTTTAAAGCATATTTCATTTGTTTAGATTACATACTGTCGAATTTAATTTTCATGGTGGTCTATCGGGTCCCAAGGTTCAATTAAATTACAAAAATTATAAGCTGTAAATATTTGAATTATATTTCGCTCTCCATAAGATTACTTGGGAGAAATCCAGAAAGATTTTTTTTAATGAAAAAATAAATGAATTTTTTGTGGCAACTACAGCCGCGGTAGCCGAGTGGTTAGCATTCGTCCCTCAGCGGTTTGTATTTCGGACATGAAAAAAAAGGCTCCTCGTAAAAAAAAAGCCATCAGCCATTCGGAGGCGGCTTAGTATAAACTGTAGGTCCCTCCATTTGTTGGAAACACATCAAGACCCAAAACCACAAATTGGAGGAGGAGCTCGGCCGAAAATCGTTTTAGCGGTAACAAAGCGTCAATTATACAATATATATATATATGTTTAGGCAACAAACGACAACTGTGTGACAGAAAGTCTGGCCGGAAACTAGTGTTTCTCGTCGGACTGCAGGGTCATGCAGTAACATAAATGTTCCAAGCTTTAGTTGTAAAAGCAGCTGTTTTATTAAGAATTTCCTACGAGTTGAGTTGAATTGACGTGGTTGATCAAATCGACTATCGCACTTAGGCCTAAGGGCCTGCTGTGTTACCGTTTCGTGTGTCTTATGGGCGATTTGATTTGCAGGAAGGTAGTTATGCTGTGTGATGCTTAGGACTGAACAGTGACAGCGGTATTACTCCGCTTCTTCGTCCCTGCAACAACGACAAAATCACGAGAAATATATCCCATTCTACTACCGCGAAGCTCTATTAACTGAATACTATAGTTAGTATGCCCGTTGTTAAATTAATGGTGAACCGGTCTAGACGAATTAGATCCCTTGATCTTATAACCTCTATGAGGTCCACCCTCCAAAAAAAATAAAAAATTGAAAATATTTTTTTTAAATCTCTTATTTATGGTATAAAAGTCTTTTCCATATTTTTAAATAATATTATAAATTTTTTACAATAAATACTTTCCACTAGGCTTGTAAAGAATTGGGCTCAATGAGTAAATAATTTTTATTTAAACGAGAACTGTTCCATTCTAATGCTACGTACACGTATGTAGAAATATAGTATATACTGAATGTATGTGTACACATACATATACAACATAAAAATGTTTGTGTGTTTAATACCACACAAATTTCACTTCGAAAAAATCACATTATTTAGCGTGACGGTTATCAGTTAAGTCTATTTGATTTAATTTGTTGTTCGATGCTGATTTCGGTCAAAATAAAAAAAAAAACAACTGGCAAAAAGTATACTAAATGATTATTATATTTGTTAACCTTTATTATATAACACACTGCTTGCCACTTCGCTGGCTGTGCTTGACCAACATTGAATATTTAGTATTTTAAGTGTCAAATTTCCGAACTGATAACTTTGTGCAGAAATTATCAATTGAATCACTAACATGCGATCCCTCCTGTATCAATATGTATTATATATATGTATGTTTTTATACAAAAGTGTTTGTATGTAGTTATGAGTATATACACTTTGTAGTTAGCTTCGAACTGGTGATATGAGTGTGACTGACAATAAACCATAAGTCAATCGATACCCCATTTTCTATATTTGTAATAAAAAAAGCACAAAGAAACTCTACACAAGTTGAATATTTGGCTTTGGCTTTTCCTTTCTTCATTACCAGCAATTCGTACTCATAAACCCATCTCAAATAATTATGAAAGAAAAAGTAAATTCGGTTGGAATCGAACATCCATCCCGTGAATTGTTGAGAAAAGTCACGATATCTTGATTTTTTTCAAAGTAATCCACTGTGTTGGCAAATGGAATGGAAGCTTTTCTTGTAACTTGAAGAACTTTGATATTGTTTGGTTAGTTGATTGAAAGAGGGAGGTTGAGAAAGTGACCGCCAGCGACCGAAAAGTTCTCTTTTGCTAAACACAATGAACAGTTTCCTCTGTATACTATCCACTCTGTTCCATAATAACTTAGTGGCACGTCCCACGTTGAAAGAGTTCTAGGACCTTAAGTGTTCCTCTATGGCTTACTGTTTAAAACTACATTTGAAGATGCTGAAGAGTCTGAGGCAGTCGATGGTGGTTGCCTCGTCAGTGGCGCTTAATTGGCGCTTGACTGTCGACTGGATAGCTAAAGGTTTTTCAAATTCAAGTGGTAGCTCACAGTTTCTGCTTGGCATACAGTGTCGTACAGATAGAATTTGAAACTACATTGGTTATTGGCGTGGTCACAGAAGCACCCTGCTAATGTCCCTGCCTCACATTTAGACCCATCAGTAAAGATATGAATATCTTCATTGCTATCGATGGGTTCGTTTTCTGTCTATTCTATCATGCTATGAGAGGAGTAGGCGGCCACTACCCGTTTCTCGGTCGCATTTTCGTTTAGCTCAAGTTCTGATATAATATTCTGATTGCCACCATGTCTTTAACAATTCGGGTGCTGAACCCAACTGTGCCAGCTTTATTGAATTATTTTATTCCTTTGCGAACAATCATTAGTCTAACAAACCCTGAGTACAGTCCGGTATAAAAATACTTATGTATATATGAAGAAATATGCATGAAAGAGTGAATATATATATTTAAAAAAAGCGCAGGTAAATATTTTCTCAAAAATAAATAACAGATAAAAGTAAATCATGTTCTCTTAAATGGAAGTAAACTAAGTGTTTCTTGGTAATTATGATTTGAGTTAGAAAAAGCTTTGGTTAAATATTGTTTAAATATTAAAGCATACGAGATAAATAAATATTTTATTTAGTATTTAATGTGATTTACGGTTGTGATTTATTTTATTTACTATTTAATAAAATTATCTGAACCCTACCACAACAGATGATGTTTTATTCAATATTTAACTGCTCAAATAGACGTGCGATTACCGTCGTTTCATTTGAGAAATTTCTAAAGCGAACTTTATCTCATAAATCGTCACTTCTACCAAACTAAATACATACATTTATGTCTTTTATTGTACTGTTTTTCAAAAGCAAAATGTTGAAGAATCTCTGATGAATTTCTTTCACCTTTTTCTTGATAAATTTCACTGTTATTTTATTTTTTTTTTAATTATAATTAAGGGTAATGTCGAATCTTCTTAAGTTACGGTCAAAATAGGTTTTGAATTATGCAGAATTTTTCTGCAGTAAAATTCATCAACTAAGATTTAGTATATTCTATTTGATTTAAAACTAACTCTCTTTTTACACGTTAAAAAGTTCCCGAAAAGTTTTGGTGTTAAAAAATTTCACTCAATTTATTTGCAAATATTTTTTTTTGATTTTACTTTCATTGATTGAAAACCAATTAGATGTTTAGTATTCAAAAATATAATTAATTTTATGTTTGCAATTCGGTGAAGTTGATTATGCTTGGACATAAAACTACACGTATGTTTTTTTATTACCTGCCACATTTAAAGACAACAACACCGATTGCTTTGAATAGTAAATAACTAAAAGTATTTTTAGGTAATCATAAAGCGATTATCTAAAAATTTTATTTTCAGTGCGTCCAATTTGAATGTCAGAGGGTTATTTCAATTTGAAATATTGTACAGTAACCAACAACAAATAATTGTTCGTATTATAAATAAAACAATTTGTATCACAAGCAAATTTTATAGTTTTTAATTAACACTTATCAAAAGAAATTGTATATCATTATTAACTGAGTGCACGTGATTACTTCAGGGATATACAATGTAGGACAATGATTAGAAAGTCGAAAAAATTGTGAATATAAATTTAGAAACAAAATTAATTGAATAAAATTATATAAAAAAACTGAGACAAATATAATCAATATAAAATTAAAAAATGGAATGAAATATATAAAAATAATTTATAATAAAATACATAACAAAATTTAAATTCAAAGAAAGATACAAAAATATGAAGCGATATAAAATAAAAAAAGTAAAAATAAAATGAAATGAAATAAAATAAAATAAAATAAAATAAAATAAAATAAAATAAAATAAAATAAAATAAAATAAAATAAAATAAAATAAAATAAAATAAAATAAAATAAAATAAAATAAAATAAAAGAAAATAAAATCGATTAAAATAATATAAAACAATATAAAATAAAACAATTAAAAAATAATAATATGACAAAAAATAATATAAAATAAAATAAAATTAACAAAATAAAGTGATGAAAAGTAAATTAAATTTAAGTAAAGTAAAATGAAATAAAATAAAATAAACGAAAATAAAATAAAATAAATTAAAATAAAATAAATAATATAAAATAAAATAATATAACAATAACATAAGTAAGGTAAGAGGTATTTTGGAATTGGAAGCCATTTGGAAGCCCTGGGTTCGAGTCCTGTTCCGACCAATATCTAAAATTTTAGAAAATCCATTGGCCATTAGTACAAATGGCCTTTAGATTAGAGGACCTTCACTATTTGTTGGAAAAACATCAAGACCCACTTTTTCGGCCGAAAGTCGCTTCAAAGCTTACAAAACTTCAATTATAAGATAAAGTAAAATAAAATTAAAAAAAAAAAAATAAGAAATAATATGTAATAATTAGAAAGAATAGGAGATAAACGAAAATAAATACAAATAAAGTGAACATTAAATAAAATAATATTTAAAATTTTGTTGTGAAAGAGGAGTATTGAAAATGTACTTTCGCTAGAATTTAAGAAAATCTTGAAAGAAATTAAAATTATATAGATTATCTGAAGAATGAATACAAGCGCTACTCAAAAATCGTCATTTTCCTTCTTCATACCTTTTTTTTTTTAGCAAAAATCAAATATTGCAAAAAGCACATACATTCTGAATACTACAGAGCTCTCCGGGTAAACATTCAAGGCTATCTTTACTCATTATGATAAATTTAGCATTTCTCTTTAAAATATTATATCCCTCATTTTGAAAGATATAATGACGTCGTAATTTGGCAGACATGGGCACCGCCCACCCAATGTTATTTATTTTTTATTCCTTTATTTTCACATAAAAATATACATACATATGTATATCATATGAAACAAATTTCGTATCGCAATAAATGTTTAATTTCTTATATTTTTAGTACCCTCACCAACTATCTTTTAACACTCGCATCACACACATATCCATTTAACTCGAAAACTCGCACAGCTACATATAAGTTAACTATGGATCGCAGAGGACTAAGTACAGCATTTGTAAGCCCATTTGGTCAGCGGCCCTGGATGGCGAATACTGGCGCAGCAGCGCCCTCCGCCGGTAATAAAGGTGTGAAGGGTATTGTGGCTGGAGGTATCACGGGCGGAATTGAAATTTGCATAACATTTCCCACCGAGTATGTGAAGACACAATTGCAGTTGGATGAAAAAGGTGAGTAAAATGGGAATTTACAGTACTGAGAAGCTCGGCTCCGTCTTCTGACCCGTCTTCTACAGTTACAAATGGAATCTAATTCGGGGTTTTTCACCCCGCCTCTGAGCCCGCTCCACTAAAATCTTCACGTCTCTCTTCCAGGTGCTAACAAAAAGTATAATGGTATTGGCGACTGCGTTAAGAAGACTGTAAAATCAAATGGTTTCTTTGGTTTATATCGCGGCTTGAGCGTTTTATTGTACGGCAGCATTCCCAAGTCTGCGGCACGGTGAGTTGTGAAAATTCGTTTATCTTTACTTGCCATGCCATTTGTATTGCTTTTCAACATTTTTCTTTTTAGATTTGGCGCCTTCGAATTCTTGCGTAGCAACATGGCCGGCTCAAATAATCAGCTCAGTAATTCGGGCAAACTCTTGTGCGGCCTTGGCGCTGGTGTTTGTGAAGCGATTTTAGCTGTTACACCCATGGAGACTGTCAAAGTGAAATTCATCAATGACCAGCGTAGCGCAAATCCACAATTCCGTGGCTTCTTCCATGGTGTCAGCACGATTGTAAAACAAGAAGGTTCGTTTTTCATTACCACTGCAAAAGTTTTGAAATCTCTTTATAAATTCGTTATAAATAAATAAATAAATACTTAAGGTTTTGGCGGTGTGTATAAGGGTCTTACACCAACCATTCTTAAACAAGGCTCGAATCAAGCTATACGTTTCTTCGTTATGGAATCGCTGAAAGATCTCTACAAGGGTGACGATCCCAACAAGAATGTACCCAAACTGGTGGTAGGCGCTTTTGGTGCAGTGGCTGGTGCTGCTTCAGTGTTTGGCAACACACCGCTCGATGTGGTGAAAACACGCATGCAAGGTCTCGAAGCGTCCAAATACAAGAATACAGCCGATTGTGCTTTGCAAATTTGGCGCAACGAAGGTGTGACTGCCTTCTACAAAGGTACAGTGCCACGACTGGGTCGTGTTTGCCTAGATGTAGCCATAACCTTTATGATCTATGATTCATTTATGGAATTGTTTAACCAAGTTTGGAAATAATAAGTAACGATAATTAACGGAAACTAGTGACATTCACGAAATTACATACATACATATGTATGTACTTCTGCATAGGTATGCTTAGTTGTTGTAAATCTGTACTAGAAATCATCTGTGCCCATATGTGTATGTCATAATTTTTGCTGAAATGCGCCTACCTATTATTATACATATGTACTTTCATATGTACTACATGGATATGCACATATGTATATATGAGCATGTTTTTTTTTTTTTGTAAAAAGAGAGAATCCAAATGAACAGAATTTAAACATTTATTTTAATGGAAATTTTTTAAATAAGTAATATACAACAACATTATTTCCTAGTCAATTAATCGAGGAAACGTACAACAAATTATATTTTGATAGCATTAAGTAAATAAAAAAAATGCATTTTCGACAAATGATACATGAATTTATCCACAAGAGAGTCAATCTTAACAACATACATATGTATATATATATATATTACTAATTAAAGCGAAATACTTATATATTTACATATACATATACCTATGCATGCATTTAGTCAAAAAATAATTGTACTTGGTTACTCGATACATTCTAGGAGTTTCTTTTTTAGAAATTTACTTCTGTACATTCTACTGTACAGTGTGGCACGCATTTGTACATCCCAATTATTTATATGATGTAAATTTAATTGAAGACGCATTTACTTAAAAAATTGTAAAACAAATGACACTTAATGTTGCATAAATGTAAAGTTACAAAAAAAATTATAAATTTGTTTTAATTGTAAAATTGTAAAATTAGTCGTGATTAACTATATTCGGCATACAACTAAATCCAACTCAAGCATGGAGGCACCGCATTGGACAAGCCTAAATACTAAACTCTACATCACTCTTGGAAGCGATGGACAACACCATTTAAATGCACAGTGAAGCATCTATGCTACGAGTTTGCCGTGAAGAGCTCGTGCTACCTTAAGGTACCCGCGAAATATGGGCATGGTCTTAGGTATGGACTCGACCGCAACAAACCCAAGGTATGTCCTGCATGTAGAGCGTCTCCGCAAGACACTAACTACCTCTTAACGTGCCGCCTGAAACCGACGTATCTAACAGCCCTCTCCCTCCGGTCCGAACCTGTCGAAATAGCTTGTTTCCTGAACCACCCATTAGATGACCTCGGTGATCCCTAAGCGGGACTAGTGAACCGCTTAATAAACAACAACAACCATTTCGGGCTTCTGTTCCAGCAATACTACCATAACAAAAATCGCAGTGAGGAACGAATGCGGAAATGCATCAGTATTGTATCACACAGATCGGTATCCATCTTCACCATCGGCTCTAAGCTAAATGGCAAAGTAGATTGCGGAGCTTACTTTGAATTCAGTAAAAGGCTTCCTGTCTATTGCAGCATATTCCAAACAGTACAAGCCGCAGCTTCATAGTTTGCTCATTTATAATACGTTTACTCAACCTAATGCAATGTATTCTGACAGCCAGACTGACTTTAAGTCTTGCCAATGTAATTCACATGAAGAGCCAATGAACGTGCGTTGTGACAAGACAAATGTGGATTTATAAAGCGGATGCGTTTTCTCAGAAATATTTTTTTCCACTTCATAAAATCCAATAAGTGGTTTGAAAAGAATCCCCTCTGCAGCACCAGGTCGTATACGTCTGGATTTTTTTTCAACCAATGGAGGAGAAATGAACATTTTAATCTAAGCCGCCTCTGAACGGTGGATGGGGTTTTGTGAGGAGCTTCCACTTCATGTCAGAAATACACTTGATAGGGTTAACAGTCCCTGCCGAGGGACGAACATAATTGTAACTTTTCTATATAACTTTGGACATTGACATGGAAAGCTAGCACATACTCCCAGCTAATAAAATCTTAATCATAGCATTAGGTCACGCCAGTTAGCCTTATTGTCTTTGCATTATATATAAGGCTTTATTTAGCACAGTCAGTTTCGCTCGATAATTTTTTCCAATTTTGAAGAGTTTGTCTTACCTCCCTCATAGAAGCCTTACACCTATGCAATAGATTTTCACAGGCTTCTCTTAAGGGCAATTCTTCACCAATCAAATCAATTTCCATAGACAGGAATAGATGGATGCATAGACAGGTGGATGCATAAGAACCTCCCAGCCAAGCTCTCAGAGTTTTTGGCGAATAAATATCGAAGTGCGTGGTCTGGTGTTGTCTTGATGAAACACAATTCGCCTCCTGTTGGCCAAAGTTAGGCGCTTCTGGATAATTGCTACAATCACCAATTTTGGCTCGGAAATCGTTTTGTTTGACGTTGCTCTCAAAACTTGGCCTTCAGAACGACAGTACGCAAGGCTAAACGCTTGGCTTTTGCGGCCGCCATAATTCAGGAAAAAGCTAATTGGTATACCTTTCCTGGCTCGAAGTATGTAAGCACCTAAAGCAGAAGAGCCTGGGCCAGAATGACCAGTGGGACTGATGTCCCTCAGTTTTTGAGATATTTCAATCAAACTTGGTACACAGATACACTGTTACATTTAAACGATCATTTGTCCGAATTGGCGAGCTTGGATGAACTATACTTTGGCGTTGAAAATGGTCGAAATCGGACGACTACAACATATAACTATCGTACATCGATTTTTTCAGATATGGGGCTTTGGTCAAAACACCGTTCAAAAGGCATCTAATCGAAATTGGAACCGATTTTTCAGATATGAGAATTAACACAGGGTTTTCCAATAAAAGGTGCTTTTGATAAACAAAGGAAATTATATTTTTTGAGATAAGTGACCGGATGTTTATTTCGATGCAAAGAAGATGATATGCCATTAATAAGGTCTCGGTGGCCCATTGCGAGAACCTCTTCGAGAGATAACACGATCCTTTTCCCTTAAGAAATCAATGATTTCGTTGCTTGTGTGGCACTTAGCGCCGTCTTGTCGAAAGCAAACTTTTTCCAGATCAACTGTTGCTCCAGCCTCAGTTTCGAAATAGTAAGGGGTAATGAGCCCGCCGAATCATAAATCGCATCAAACATTTACACGCTGAGAATGGAGAGGCTTTTCAACAATTAATTTTGTGTTCACCGAATCCCAGATGCGACAATTTTGTTTACTGACGTATCCATCGAGGGTGAAATGGGTTATTACTAGTAAAGATGATTTTTGTAAGAAATTCCGGATCATTTTCACGCATTTAAAGTACCCAAACAGCAAAGACACAACGTTGTTGTTGATCGGCCGGGTTGAGTTCTTGAGTTAACTGAGCTTTATCAGCCTTAAGATCCAAGTCTTTATGCAAAACGCGGTGTAATGACATTTATGAAACTCCCATTTGCAAGGAACGAAGAGGAATGGACAAACCTGGATTTTCTTCGTATTTTATCATCATCACTAACTTGTTCCAACAGCTCCATTTTTTCCACCAATTTCAAGATGCTTCACGACGTTCGAAAAATGTTTTAGTTTTACAAACCATCCCTGCCAGGTGTTCACCGTTTTTGAAGCGTGTATCGATCCATTTTTATTACTGGCGTAGTTTTTGTTGTCAAATATTACTGCTTCAAGTGGTGAACTATTCAAAATAACACCTCTTATTGGTAAACCCTTTTTTTAATCCTACTATGAAATACAATAAATTTGTTCATATCATGAAAGTGTAAAGACTTCGGCATGACCGAAGACAGCTCTTCTTTCTAGTTTCTTTAAATAATTAGTACCAGATTTGCATTAAAAAATCGTTTGAAATTTGCTAGACATATGTACATAGATATTTAACATGAAATTTTTATTTATAACATAAAAATTTGTATAACAGTAACTTAATAAACAATAATTGGTGTATATAAGTATGTATGTAAAATCAAAATATATAAAAATAAATATTATTGCATATGCTTAATAGTGCCGCACTGTGTAGACTTGCAACGTGCTCCTTTAATTCCTTGCCACTTGTTGATTTACATTGTAAATTTGCTTGCCTTGCTATACACTGATGTATTGAAAAACATACATATATTTCCTCATACGTTTCTATATTACATTTTATTTATGTACATACATACATTCGTCGCGCCCTTAACTATTTGCTTGGTTACTTATTGCCCCTCGAACTGCTCCATGCTAATCCCATCCCAATTTATCGTATAACATTTAATGGAATTGTCGAATATTTGCTGGATAATATGCGTGCCAATTTCTCCTCTAGCTGACGTCCCAACTCATGCCACGTACATTTACCGATGAGCGCAACCTCTTCCAAAGGCGGCCGAAACACGACTAGCACATTAAGACAAATGCCATCGCTCGTGTAAGGCATGGGCGAGGGGCAGTGTTCGACGCTGAGTATGCCATGTGGTCGGTGCTGGGGCAATTCCGCACCGAATAGTTCAATCATAAATTTCCTTAGCGTCGAGTGTAGACTGCGTTGGGGATGTACCTCGACTGTGGGGAAATGATGTACATTCTTTTCACTAACGAGCACATTCAAGGAATTTGTGGCACGTTTGCGTATCACTGCGACTACGCGCAAATAGTTTTTGTGATGTGAGTATTTAGTCGGCAATATTTCTGGATGATACATAAGAGGCTGAGGTGCCGTTGTGCGTTCATTATATGCACGCCCAATATCGATTAGGTTTAAGATATCATTGGCGCGTAACGGTAACTCAGAGAGCCGGGAAACCCATTTAGCTTGCAAGGATTCGTTATCCGCTTGAGCGGGTGTTTTCAAAATACCGCCTGTTACGCGCCCGGTGAGCACAAAACGAAACCATGAGCCGCCTGCCACTTCGATTGCCAAAAGCGTAGTGGCGTCTACATTTAAGCCGGTTTCTTCATACACCTCACGTACGGCTGCCTCGCAGATTGTTTCGCCCTTTTCCATGCGACCAGCTGGTAAATACCATTTTCCTGGTGTACAGAAGTTGATAATAAAATTTGTTTTGGTTTTATTTATTTATTCTTTTTTGTTTCCCTTCCCTTTCCTTTTTACTTACCCGCGCACGATTGCTTTGCCTCCTGCATCATAAGCACCTCATCACGTTCGTTGAATAAGACGCACGCTACAATATATGTTACAGATTTGCCTAAGACTGGTACATAATCGGCTGATGCGCTTGGTTGTATGCCCTGTGCCTCGGCAGTGGCATTTTGCTCCTCCAGCGAGAAATCACAAAGCTCCTGTGTTATATCACCCAGATCTTGCGCCGCAAGTATGCCCAATAGCTTTTGCTCAATGGCATCTGTGGCATTGGTTTGAGGCATTTCGAGACGTAAGCTGGAGAAAAGAAATAATTAAAATTAAGTTTAATTAATGTTATGAAAGAAATTAGACAACATTTAGAAAAGCGCCAATAGGCCATAGCATATCCAGAAAATCTTACTATCATTAAGAAGAGATCTACAGAAATTCCTAATATCTAAATAAATATTTCTAGACAATTTCGCTCACACTTATGAATTTTTAAACCAAAAACTAGTTTAAAACTCTCCAAACTGTTGGATTTCGAACGAGGTTTCAGACAAGGTGATTCCTCATCGTGTGACTTCTTTAATTTATTACTGAAGAAAATAATATGAGCTGCAGAGCGGAAAATAGAAGATACAATCTTCTATAAGAGCGTAGAGATTCTGGCAGTTGTCATAAGGAAGCAAAGCGTAAAGGCTGGTAATGAACCAGCGCCAGACGATCCAGACGATATACATCCTGTCATCAAAAAAAAAAAAAAAACAGTCGGTCGACTCCTACGTCACTGCTGATAGTCATA